CGTTTAGAAGACAAGAAGATGTGAGGACTTAGTTTTATTCTTTAAAACATTCTTATGATTGAAAAAGACATGAACTGGTTCTGCAGGAACTGGTGACCAGCTCGGCCTCTCTGGGATCTTGGTGGGACATTCTCCTGCAGAAAGACCCATCCATGACCCATCTTCAGTGTTCTGGCTGAGGGAAGAAGGTTCTTGGTTACATATGGACCTTCTACTCAAATCTGACCCAAGTTATGTTTCCACCTCCGTGCTTGACTGCGGGGATAGTTCATCACTTTTCTTCCTTCAAACGTGGCGGCTCCAGCTGAACCACGGGGCGGGTCACAGCAGAACTTTAGATGTTCTATGGAGAACTAAAGGTGGGTCTGAACAGCAGAGAGACCTTCAGTCTGTTCCCGTGGTCCCAGCTGCCTTCAGATCCAATCCTGTACCTTCTGGCTCTGGGTCAGAACCTGTGTTGTCTGGGTTTTATAAGATTTTTTTCCCACTAGACTTTGTTTTTCTGTAACATTTAACATTAATTGTTGTCTTTTAAAGACTCTCTTTAGTTTGTTCAGGGGAGAGTTTTGTTGCTGTTCATCCATTTTTCTCTGTCTCCGCTCGTCGTGCTGAGCAGGTCTACACCTCCAGCTGGAACCGGACAGGTCCAATAAGATCCTGTAAATGTTCTGCTGGGTGTTCTGAGTCCACAGGAAGGAAGCGACAGCTTCCTGGTTCTGAACCTGAGCGGCCGTCTTGTTTCAGGAGTGATGATGGGCTGCCCTCTGCAGCTCACACTCAGACTCTTCACTCCCAGAACCTGCCGGGTTCTGTCGTCCAACACAAAGACCTCCTCTGTCTGACAGAACCCCAAAATGTTGTTCCAGCAGAAAGTTTATATAAATTATCGTCATCTGAATCTGATCACAACTACATGAATATATAAACCTGAAAGAAAAGACTGAGAGAAATATTACAAGAAACTAGAACGTTCCTGGAGAAACTTTGACGGGGACTGCCTATTTATTATTACATTATTATTATTAATTAATTATTAATATATTATAATATATAACAATATACAACATATTAATAATTAATTATTAATATATTGTCAATCTATTATTAAAAACTATTAATATATTTGATAATTATATTAATAATTATCTCAGGCATTAATATTAGTAATTGTTAATGTTATTATTTGTAATTATTAAAACAAATAATTAATAATTTATGTTAATTATTTTTACTAATTAATAATAGGTGCCTTCCATGCATGTTGAACCAAAATGGCTCCCAACATTACTCAGTTTCTTTGAAAAGTTTTCTCCTATTCATTTCCTAATGTCATTTTCGTTAGCAAAATATGTCGCCATGGTAACGCCTATTGCCAATAAAAGTAAAAGCACACATCTCGGAGCCGGGCCGGTCCTATGGATATAACTTTTGTGGGGGTCCACTTTGCGGTTTGGGCTACATTAAAGTTGAAAAAGATACGCTTTTCAGAATAATAAGTGGGCAGTCACCAACTAGTTCCTGGAGTTGGTGAAATATTGCGTCTTTGTTCGCAAATTACTTCGCCATGGTAACTTGAAATGCCAATAAAAGTAATAGTACACATCACGGGGCCGAGCCAGTCGTTTTGATATAACTTTTGTGGGGGAGACATTGTGGTTCGGGCAACATTAACGGAGATGGAAATGTAGACTCACTTCCGAGGTGTAGAATAATAGGTGCGTCCCCAAATACACAAAAACTTCCATGGAGTCCAAAATTTGAACAAACTCCAAATCTGTGTTAAATTCTCCAGAAGGTTTCAGCTATAGTTCCTCACTTGGCTGCAAATGTTTGAGAGCTGGTGGCAACTAATGTTTGTGCAACACCTGCAGGAAAACGTGCTTCAGTTGCCGTCTCACTTTGTTTCTACGACGTGTTTGCAGGTCGAATGATCATAATGTCCTGGTCTTTTTGGGTCAAACGTCACAGTTCTGTTGTGCAGATGTCTCAAGAATGTCCTGCAAATGTTTCTCAATATGTTTTTTAACTGGATACAGTGGGGAAAATAAGCCGATTTTGCAAGTTTTCCCACCTACAATTTAAATTCAGTTTATTTCTACAGCACCAAGTCCCAACAAGTTGTCTCAGGGCTCTGTAGAAAACATTCACGCACATTAAGAAGCCAGTTAGTAAAAGTTATCATCTAAAAGGAAGGTTGTGTTGCAACACTTCGATGGGTCGTGGCCGACAATGACCACAACACGGCCAGGGCAACTGAGGAGTGGCTCCGTAAGAAGCATTTCAAGGTCCTGGAGGGGCCTTGCCGGTCTCCAGACCTGAACCCAATAGAAGATCTTTGGAGGGAGCTGAAACTCAAGGTTGCCCAGCGACAGGCCCAAAACCTGAAAGATCTGGAGAAGATCTGTCTGGAGGAGTGGATCAAAACCGCTGCTGCAGCGTCTGAGAGATCCAGACGAGGCGGTTCAGATGTCTGGTAAGGATGGACCCTGGTCACCTCCCTAGGGAGGTGTTCCGGGCATAACCGACTGGGAGGAGACGCCGGGAAAGACCCAGGACATGCTGGAGAGACCATGTCTCTCAGCTGGTTTGGGAACGCCTTGGAGTCCTCCAAAAGAGCTGGCTATGGAAGGAGATGTCTGGGTCGCCCTGATCAAGATTCTGCCAAGACCTGAGTCCAGAACCAGAGGATGGACGGCGATGGTCGGACGAGGTGACTGTTCTGTGACAGTTGAGAAGTTCAGACCTTATGAATACGAGGTCCTCTCTCCAGCTGAGTGGACAAGAGGTTCTGGTTCATCTCCAACTCGTCTCACTGCAGTCGCCACCGACTCGGACCGTTTTCCCGTCGCTCGCACCTTTGACTTTCAGAAACCAGTCTGACGACCTTCAGACTCCGTGACAACAGGTCCCTGTGGCCTGCGAGGGGAACGTCGTCAAAACGTTTCTGGACATTTGTGAGCGTCTCCGGTGAAGGTCTTTCAGCTCGAGAGCGAGAAGACTCGCAAACGACTCGAGACACAAAAAGTGAAATCCTGCTTTAGTCTGAAACGGCGGCGTTAAAATTTGGAATCAAAACACCAGGAACACATTCGCAGCGCACAGAATCAGATGGTTTTATTTTATTTTACGGTGAAAATACAAACTTTAATCCCAGCCACACAAACGTGTATTTAATCCAGCTTCTCTGTACAAGCTGAGGTGGAAAAACAAAGAAACTCGCATTCGAAGCAGAAGAAGACGAGTCAAAGCGACACATTCGGGTCATCGGAGAAAGAAAGGCAACACAAGAGGCAGAAAGCGGTGCCGTCCGGAAACGTCGGGTCTCTTTCAGGTTCTTTGAATAAACTCATCTCACAACATTTTGTTCTACAAACACGCTGAGGACATCAACAAATTAAACGTTTCAGATGTTCATTTCAGAATCTGCAGCTCTGAGGGAACAGCTAAAGATCCGTTTGTTTTTCCTCAAACTTTGAACTAAAACTCAGCAGAACTTGTGAAAAGAGCTCAAACTGACGTGAAAAACCTTCGGCTGAGCAGAAACACTTTAAAATCCTCCGCGGACCCTCGGTGCCGCCGGGTTCAGACCCTAAAAGAACCTCGGACATTTCAGCTCAGTTTTAGAAACTACCTTTAAAGATTTTAACTTTCTGGATTGAGCCTTGGGCTTTTAGTGACGTGTAAATAAAAGTAAACAAAAAGACGTAAACAAATAAAACGTCCGAGCTGAAACAGAACTTCCTGTTTGATTTGGTTCTGTTGCTTTTGTTCTTTGGACCCATCTTCAGCTAAAATCAGTTAAAATCTAAAGTTTCTTTTTTTAGACTCCTAACTAGACAAAAACTGCATAAATACTATTTACTCCTCTTCAGATTATAACTGTAACAGATTAAAACTACTTTTTCAGCAGATGATTAATAAAAAAAAGTAAATGCTGTAAATATGTATTCATCTGTATGTTTCTTCTGACCAAAACTGTTTGCAAGAACAAAATAATATTACAGATTGAAGTGTAAAATAATCCACTTTAATCTGAGTTGGATTAGTTGTAAATTATTTACCTAAACAAGCGCAAAACCCCACCCAAGAATGGCTGGAATATCCCTTTAAGACAAACTAGTGATAAAAATAACTTGCTCGTTTTGTTTTGTGACCTGATCTTCAACTAAACAAAAAAAAAAGTTTAATTCTTATTAACTTTAAGAGGAAAGTAAATAAAAACATAAGATAAATAAAACTTTTCTTTTGAATTTATGTTTTGTAACTTAAAAAAAAAAACATTTTAAAGAAAAAGTAGAGCTCGGTTCTTTTAAAGAACAAATGTGTTAATTGTCGTAGATGTTTTATTGTTTTTCCCAGATTATTTAAGCTCTTTGCTCCGAATTATTCTCTAAAATCATGGATTACGCCGCCGCAGAAAATAGTCCCCAACTTTTATTTTACTGTTTCAGTAACATTTCCATGTGTTTAAACAAAACAAAAAAATTCTACTCGTATATCAGTTGTAAAAACTATCTTAAAGCCGTAAACAAAACCAGACAATAAACGAAACTGAACAACTTTATCTTTCAAAACGTGCAAAACTAAAGGCTCCGTGTCGTTAAATTAGTGCCTCCGAATAAAAGCAGTGTTTGCAGACACCTGAACACTTTGGGTTTAAATCCTTGAAAAGCTGCCGTTCTCTTTTTCAAACCTCAGAGTCTAAATTTGAAACTCTTCAATGATTCAGAGGGAAGCGGCGCACGGGAACAGGAAGTTCGCAGCTGTGTGTTTTAGTGCGTGCACTGAGGTGACGCAAAGCTTTGGTGGTTTAACGTCATCCGAGCCGAGCTGCAGCTTAAAGCAGAAAAAAACAGGACCGAAAATAAAAATGGACCTTTAACAGCCGACGTCTCACCTGTCCTCGCTTTGTTATTCGTCTTTCTTTGTGCTCTAATTTAAATTCGCTCATTTGCCCCGGAGATACATTTTTAAAATGTTTATTTTTTTTTTTTTGCCTGAATGCCTGGTCAGGGTTAATACAAAAAAATAAAGTAGATTAAATAAAAGCTAAAAAAACTATGAACTGCAGGAAATTTGGTCCATACGGAACAACAGGAGTGCCACAAAAATAGATCCATAAACAGGAATAAATAAGATATAAAAATAAAACAACAAAGAACAATTTAACACTGTTCATGAATTTACAGATGAAAGTGCTGACTTTGTAAAACACATTTGTCGACTGATGCACCATTTTTGCCCGTTTAATTTTTTTTAATGAATTTTACTTTCATTAGTCATTGCTCTGCAGTACAGTGTTTGCCTTTCTCTTTAAATTTTACCTTTTTTTGGCTACAGGAAAATAGTTAAAAACAGTCTACGACCTTGTGCCTAATTCTGCTTGTTGTGGCACTCCAGTCATTTATTACACACATCTGCTAAAAAATAATTAAATAAATCATAGCTTATTTATAATTATAATAATGATCTCCTCCGTTCAGGATTTTTGGTGGTTTCATTGTGTTTTCGTTTAGTTTTATTAGTTCGTTACTCCACTATGATCAACCAGCGGCTCCGTTAGCCGGATTGTTCCCCATTAGCCACAATACTGTATTTTAGCTAAACTGCTGTTAGCCAGATCATTCCCCGTTAGCCAACCTATGGTTCTGTTAGCCAGATTGTTCCTCATTAGCCAAGGAGCTTGTTATTAGCCGGATTGTTCATCATTAGCCACAATACTGTATTTTAGCTAAACTGCTGTTAGCCAGATCATTCCCCGTTAGCCAACCTATGGTTCTGTTAGCCAGATTGTTCCTCATTAGCGAACCTACGACTCTGTTAAACGGATTGTTCCCCGTTAGCCAACCTGCGGCTCCATTAGCCAGACTGCTCCATGTTAGCCAAAATACTGTACGTTAGCTAAAATGTTCCATTAGTTGGATCCTTCCCCATTAGCCAACCTTCTTTCTGTTAGCCAGATCGTTTCCCATTAGCCGGATTGTTTCCCGTTAGCCAAAATGCTGTATGTTAGCTAAATTGCTGTTAGCCGGACTGTCCCTCGTCTAATAAGTGCAGATATGCTGTAGTGATAACGGCGAAGGTGCTCTCTGTCCATAAACACATTCAGTGCTTCAGTTTCCTCATTGCTTAAAAAAGAAAAAAGGTGAAACGTTAAAAAGCAAAAGGCACGGATATTCAGTTTTTTTCCTAAAAACAGAGTCCGACAGCAAGTTTGTCGATCTCCGTCTTCGATGTGCCGACCCTCGGCTTCTCTTCCGTCCTTTTCCTGAACAAATATGTCGTGCTCTGAATAAAAAACACTAATAAATAAACCACCTACAGAAGCAGCAGCAGTTAAATAAAATATTCAGTGGGTTCAAATCTGAGCAAAGACAAAGTGCCCGCTCCTCCGTCAAACGCCAGTTTTTCTTTTCTTCAGTTTCTTTATGGCGTCAAACCCTCAGAGGGTGATAAAACCAGCTGATGATTCTTCTTCATCTCGATGTTGTAGTTGTACGAAAAAAATGTCCCATTGTTTTGAGCAGCCCAAGTTGGCACCTTGTATGGCAGGACATTTTACCACATAATCAAATCACACCTCTGCTTCTGTTAACATTTATGGATTTGAATAATAGCACAATATTCTACCGGTAGTCAGAATTAAAATTAAAAATATTTGCAGTTCATCTAGACTCTGACCACTTTAACTTTTGAAGGATTTATAGATATTTTAAATTAATGTCTGTAATTATCCCAAATGTTGACATTTGTATTTCAATTATGGCGAAGAATGTTTTTGAGAGCAGGTGAAAAGCTTCTATTAGAATCTAAAACCATAAGTACAGACAGGAGTGTGTATTGATTATCTGGTAAAATGTTGATCAGGAGGAAGTTCAGAGCGTCGGCGGTAGATTTGTACGACCAAACATGAAAAAACAAAACACCGCAGCTGACACATCCAGGAGGTCCAGACAGAACCATCCAGAACCGACGCGCAGGGTTGACGGTGTTTTTACAAAAAGGAGCTGTGAGTTTTTCCAGCCACAGACACAAAGAAAGACGCTGCAGCAGTGGATTCTGGGAGAGTGAGTTCATATTTTCAGCAATGGAATGATGATGAGGGTTTCCAGACGTCCTGCGCTCCTCGGGTCGGGTCAGTACTCCCACTCGTCGGTCTTCATGTCCAGGTAGTTCAAAATGTTCTGGGCGAACTTCACCGCCTGCTTTCGGGCCATCTTGGTGGACTCGTCTCCGTGGGCGTCCACGGCGTCCAGCGCCAGCAGTTGCTTGGTCAGCAGCTCCTCCAGCATCATGTAGCTCTTGTCGGCCCGTTTGCCGTCGAAGCCCAGAACCTGGGCCTGGAGGTTGGACAGGCTCCCCAGCACCAGCCAGACGGCCCGGTGCGACGGGTGCTCGTCAGGGCCCGGCTGGCGGCAGACCAAGGCCTCGCGGAGGTCGAGGAAGGTGATGACGGCCTGGACCTCCACCACGGCGCGGCGCCGGGCCTCTCGGATGCACGGGTTCTTGGCCGTGTCCACCTGGTCCAGGTGCGTGAGGAGGGTCTGCAGCTCGGCTTTGGGCCTGAAGCTGAGGTCTCCCACTACGCAGTGCTGCAGGACGCCCTCCCGCAGGTGGGTCACGTGAGCTCGCACTGCCTCGATCTCACGGATGGAGTTGTTCTGCGCCAGATCGTACCTGCAGGAACAAAGACCGGGTCACGGAGGTTCTGATGACAACTTGAAGGACTCAGTGGACTTTGTTTTTCCAGGTGAAACCAACCTGCGGGTGTCGTCGCCCTCTCCCTCCAGGTCCAGGTGTTTCAGCAGCCCGTTGATCTCCTCCACCACCTGTTTCCGGTAGTTTCTGATGGCCGCGTTCCCGGAGACGTCCAGGGCGTCCAGCTCCACCTGCAGCTCCATCAGGACGCGGGACAGGTGAGCGCAGCTGTCCCTGCCGCTCAGTCCCATCAGCAGGGCCACCAGCTGGCTGCGGGCCATGCTCACCTTCACCATCACCTGGTTGATGCGGTTCACCGCTTCGTGGGTGTCTCCCGACAGCGGCAGGGACAGGGTCTGCTGCTGGGTGCGTCCCTCCAGGACGTCCTGCACGGCGCAGAGGCGCGTCAGCGCCCGGTAGCGGGCCTTGCGAAGTGGCACCCTGCCTTCGGTCTTGATCTGGGTGAGCCTCAGCACCAGCTCCTGCAGGGCGTCCACCAGCTCGTCGTTGATCTCCGCCACGCCGCCGGCCCGCTGCGGCGCCACCACGCGCTCCTCCACCAGCTGCCGCGCCGCAGTGCTCAGCTCCTCGATGGCCTGGCGGGACGGGTGGGTGGCGTTTTCTTCCAGGTAGCGCAGGAGGCCCTCCACCTCCTGCGCAGTTCTCTTTCGCACGCCCTGCAGCTCCGCTCGGCCCTCCGCGTCCACCTGGTCCACCTCCAGCAGCAGCCGGGTCAGCTCCCGCTCCATGCGCTTGTACTCCCGTTCGTTCTGCAGGCCGCTGAAGGTGCAGACCTGCGGCCCCAGAGCCGACACCTCCTTCTGGACCTCGTAGAGTCGCAGCATGGCCGGGTGGTGCTGCTGCTGATCCATGGGATGCTGCTGCTGCTCCGGGGGGACGCCGTGCTCCATCCTCTTCCCCCCATCAAAGGGCTTCCCAAACAGGCTGCAGGAAGGGACAGGAAAACAAAGAAACCATAAAAAAACTAAAACTTCTTGTTTTATCTCACCTGCCAGCGTCCGATACGTGAGAATATGGAAACTGATTAAACATCCATCCATCCATCCATCCATCCATCCAGCCATCCATCCATCCATTATCTTTTACCCGCTTCTTTCATTTTGGGTCACGGGGGTCGCCGGTGCCCATGTCCACTGATTAAACAGATTTTAAAAATGTGCCTTTGACCAGGGACGAGGTTAAAAACTGCCGTATAAATACGGACATTCATCTTCTTCTTCTGTCACATCGGACGAAGAGTCAGAAAGAACCCCGAGACTTCAGCTTATCCCAACAAACACAGCTGAAGAAATCTAACAGGACAGAACCGGGCTTCAGGTTCTGAAGGAGCTGAAACCGTTTTTGGATAAATGTTGGATCTGAAGTTCCTCCCAACCAAACACACAAACCTTCCACAGAAGTAAAGAAATTTGAGTTTGGCAGATTATTTTTGGTTCTGTTAGTAGGGAAAATGTTTTTGTGGGTCGAGCAACAAAGACGTATCGATGAAGACTTGTCACATCTTTTCTGCTGAGCAGCTGAATCTGTTGTTGACTCTTGTTTGGTCTCGTTTAACTGGCTGCATGATTGAAATCTGAAGAAACAAAACACTTTGGTAATTGGATAAACATTAACTTCACAAACGAGGCCCTCGGCAGCATGTGGAAGAACCATACACAGCCACAGCTAGAGATGGGATTTACAGCCCTTTGAAGGGAGCCGGCTCTTATGGATCCTAACGTAGTACGTACAGCCGTACCTAACGACATACAACTGTATCACGATTCGTCAAGCATGCAACTCCTCCCCCTCCAACTACTTCTTTATCTCTGTAAAAAAGCGAAAGAGGAGTGCACGTAATTCCATCCGAGGAAGAAAACAAAAAAAACGGCTCAGTTTTCTGTGACTCGGTTTCTCATTGTTGTTCCTTTTAACGAGTCACTCAAATAATTTGGATCGGTCCTGAACGACATCTCTGGTCAGAACAGCCTGGTTCCTCCTCCTCTCCTGACCAGCTCAGTGTCATGGCGTCCTGTTATTCAACAAACATGAGTCCCTCACTCTGGGAGCTTTTTCTTCCAGAGGACCGAATCAAGACATTTAAAGCGTTCAGTGGGTCACGTAGAGAATTGGAAAGTAAATTTTCTTTACGTCAAACAATAAGGAAGGCTTTGTTCAGGCTTTTACTTGTAGCATAGTTAGCATGCTTGCTAAACATACTGACAATACATTATCTTAAGTTCATTGATAATCAACTTATTTAAAAGTTGTTGTTTTCTGAATTAAGGATATTGGGGGCCGGATTGAGATGGTCCAAGGGGCCACTTTTGGCCCTTGGGCCGTGTATTGCCCACCTAGTTCTGCATAAAACCTCTTAATCCTAATATTCTGGGTTATTGTAAATCAATTCTCCTTAAGGGCAGAGAAGGTTCTGGACGGTTCTAGAAACCAGGATGGGCTCATGTGGAGCATTTATTGGGATAATCTCTGCAGAGATCCAGTCCATGGTGGTAAAGACACCTCCTCCTTCAGCCTTGCTAACACGAAATGAACCTGGACCGGCTGGAGGCTCCATCAGAACCCCCGAACCTGGCCTCACCTCTTCAGCACTCCGAACACGTTGGCGCACATCTTCAGGGAGGCTTGTTGCCATCAACCGGGGCGGGAAAAGGAGGTCGAAATCCCGGAGGTTTCCGCCGGACTCTCCGCTCAGCTTCAGCACCAACCGAACCGAACCGACCGTGACCGACCCGCCGGGGAGAGGCTGCCCCTCCCACCGCGGTCCCGCTTCTTTTAAAACATTTAGATTCAAAAATAAATCTAAAAGCCAGGCTTTACTGGGGGTTAAAACCGGAGCTTCGGATCCAGAACAGGAATAAACAGAAGCAGCTCCCCCCCCTCCCTGATTGTCCCTCTCAGGATGATCACCTGACTCTCTCCGCCCCACCTTTTGGCCTAAAACACTTCTTATTGTCTAAAATAAAGCAGAAACAAAATGATTTCGCCACTTGTGCTCTTACCTGCACAGCCAGCGTACAGCCATGTGAACTGCTGGAAAGGTCGCAGCTCCTCCGATTAAAGCTCAACATTAACGCACCTAGAGATACCTTCTACTACTTTCTGCTCGCGCACATCAACTAACACGGAGTTGAGCTTTCCTCCTTACGCTTCAGTTAGCTTAATTCATCTACGTTCACCTTGATGTTTAAAAAAACACGTATGTGCTATTTTATTTTTTAACGAACAAATTAATATAAGCGTTAAGGAATGTATATAACGAGCTGTAATTTTGATCAACGACGTTACTTTTGAGAGCCGCGAATAGTTTTCTGTTGTCCAACATCTAGTGCGCTCGATTTGTTCATCCGGTACGTGCGGAGAGGGAAAGGCGGGAAAGGAAACGGCAGATAAAACGGGCAGCTTCATATAAATTTAGCTGGTTTCATTTTATTTATTTATTTATTCGTTCATTTTTTAATATTTTATATAATTATTAATTTGTGGTGCAGAAACACTAAGTATGTTGAAATAGGTGCAAACAATGTCAGCGTTTAGATGTTACGCCGGTGTGATTTTCAAGCTAACCTTTCCTTCTATGACCAAACATCCGGTTAAAGTGGTAGGTGGTGACTCGGTCACCCCTCGTGTGTTTTGATTGTCGCAACCAGCTGTTAGTTCGGTTGCATTGGGGTTTTAAATACTTTATTTTGTGTGGATGCATTAAAAATGTCTGTGAGACATTCAACGTGTCGGAGCTTCAGTAAATTGACCCTCGCTGCTCTGCGTTCATACCGACTATTTCCGGTCAGCTGTGGGTTCTGCAGTTCTGAACGAGCAGCTCGACAGGATGAACCCAGAAAGGTCAGTTTCATTCATCATGTTCTCACCGATGAGTTACGGTACACACGACGGCAGTGATGGGCAAATGAAGCTTTTATGAAGCACCGAACCACTAGGGACAAACGTTTGAAGCTTCAGTTACAGTGACCTCTCCTGGCCACCTGCGATGTCGCAGTTAAATCAGGCACTCATTTTATTGCACACACCCAAAGAACTTTGTATGATCTCACTTGGACTATTTGGTTTTAAAAGTTGTTGATGTTTACACATTCTATTTTCAAATAAAGATTGAATGAACATTGTTATAGAGGATGTCTAATAATCCAATTTGGCATGGTATTGGTGTGCTTGTGTTACTTTGACAGAGTCAGGGTCTTTATCTTTGTTAGAGATAACAATGAAATGACAACAAGAAATCCAGAGTCCCTGTGGAAAACAGTGCAAAGATTGGAAACTATCGTCATTTATTGAGAAACATCAGTTTTTCAACTGTTTTAGGACTTAGCCGGTTTCTTTTTTTGCTCACATCCTCTCCACACTTGGAAAATACTCGATTGCAAGGGACATAATGTTGGCATGCATAAAAAATGTTTCACCAATGTGAACAGATGTGGGTCCACATTTTGATGGTTCAGACAGTACACCAGTGGATCTGTCATGTCAAAATAAAACTTTGAGTCTGTGCAGCCTTATGACTACAAAAATCACATCATTTTACTGTAATGCTATTTTAGAGTTGACATATTTTTTTTTTTTTACATATTCAAATACCAGAACCACCTTATCATGAGCGAGCAGAATGAAGTGTTCTCGCATGTTAGAACGACTTTTTTTCCTGGCTGGCTCCATAATGATACCATCTCAACAACACGACAGCAAAAACAGCACATTGCGCTCTTCTCATAACCATTTTATAGTCGTGAGCACGACCAAATTCAAAACTGTTTCTACCAGTCACCTGTCAGAATCGAAACGAGGCCAAAGAATCAGCTGATTGGACCACAAACCAGTCAAGGGATTCATTCCGACAACGTAACAGTTTGTGTTTTAGACGTCACGTGATTTCGTTCACACCAAAACAGGCTACGAAGAAGTGTTACGATGTAATTGTACTTAACGGTTCAAAACATGTATCGAAGCTTTTGTTTTATTCTGCCATCACTACACGACGGACTACAGCTTGTTGGGGGTACCAAATGCAGTGAAACACCCTTCCGTTGGGGTTCCACATTATTTTTGTCCACTTTCATTAAAGGACTGCAAATTATACATGAAAACACGCAGTTCGACCAAGAGAATCCTGCTTTGACTCACGTAATCAAGAAATCTCACGACATGGGCTGTATAATCGCAAAAATCTGCTAAAAATTCCCCCCATAGACAATCAATGGAAGTTTGTTAAAACATACAAGAAAATCCCTGTTAGGAGCTTAAAGGAATTCACGTGTGTCTATCAGAGCCTTCGGTCACTCACAGTTCAAGAATTTTACAGATCTGACATGGTTTTCACACAGCGACTGCTTGTCTGAGGCTTACTTTTCAGTTTGTTTCTGTCTTATTAGGGCACAGTCAGGGAGTGACAGATAGGTGTGTGGTTACCATGGTGACCACAGTGAGTCACTGGCAGCAGCTTATAATGTTCTTTCAACGTGTACGTCTCTTTAATGGGTCATGTGTTAAAATGCCCGTCATTTTTCGTCAGAATTTGTTTTATTTATTTATTTTTACGTTTTGGAAGACGCTGAAGTTGGCTTCTGATTCCAACAGCTGTTTTTTTTAGCTCTGCTCCATTAAATTTATAAACGTGAAACTTGTAAAGGTCCAAGAATGAAAAAATCTTTTTGTTTTATAATTTTTTTGTGCAACTGGTCCACGTTGAAACGGGTCCAATTCAAACACAACGACACAGATAACCAGAACAAGAGGTCATGCCTTTAATGGAGAGGCGTTTATTTCAGGTTTGAACCGTCTGAGTGTTGTAATTTTTAAACTAGACCTGGCCTAATTTAGTCCAGATGCCAAAAAAAGTGTTGGAATTTATCATTTTTGTGTTTTTACAAATAGAATAAAGTTTTCTCAAACCACAAATTGTGTTTGAAGATTTATCTTCAAGGATTTTATAAATAATTTCAGGTTTGAGCGAAATGTATAAATGTGTAAATGCACATGTAGCTAAACTAATAAAAAAGGTTAAATCTCAGTCATTTTTAGAGATATTCAGCTAATATTTGGTGTGGAGTATTTTAAACTCGTCCCCAACACGCTGAATGCTAATAAAAATGCAGCTTCTTTAATCTCATTTATTTCTTGGCTGTTTTTCTGCGTTCTTCACGTTCTTTTTGCTAATGCTTTTTTTTTTTTTTTTGGTTTGTTTGTTTGTTTTATACTCATTTCAGCTTCTTTTGCTCATTTCAGCTTTTTTCCACACATTTCGGCTGTCATTTTGCTGCATCCCTCTTTTCTTCCTGCATTCAGCATTGTTGGTTGAGCTAAAGAAATATTTCAGCTGCTTCAGCAACTTTCAGCAGAATTATTCACTCCACGCTGCATTTGAGCAGGACATGCAGACTTCTCTAATGTATAATAATAAAAGAAAACTAAATAATTTCGTGCTCTTGGTTTGAAACGAGTCCGGTTGGAGGTTCTGTGTACCTTTGTCCTGGTCTCCGAGTCCTGGATTGGGTTTTTCTTCGGGCTGCTCCTCTCATCGTGTCGCCTGCTCTGGACTGATAAGCTCCGACTTGTTGCTCAGCTGCTCAGTTTGGACCCGGGTGACGTCAGTTTGTGGCACTCGGACCCGTTGACGAGCTGCAGGTTCTGCTGAGTCAGACTCAGTCAAGAGTTTGATCATTTCAGCTGAAAGCAGCTGAAGTTTTTGTGATGGGCAGTAATGAAAGTAGCAGGATGCATATCACCCGCTCCCTTGTTAGCATTCGGTGTACGTTGGGGACGACTCAGCTTCTACCTCGTCAGATTTCAGCTGAATATCGGCTCTTATTTTCCTTTAACGCAGAGCTCCTGCTTCAGGCCGACGCCCAGCTCCACGCACGACTGGATTGGACCTCCAAACCCCCTGTCCAATCTGCGTCCCATCGTGTACCGGGTCCCGGAGGACGAGTCGGACCTGGAGAAGCAGCTGAGGAAGCTGAGGCAGGAGACGGAGGACTGGAACCAGAACTTCTGGACCAAACAGAACATCAGCTTCAGCCAGGTGGACGTTCAGATTTAACCTTTTTGTTTACACGTCCCAGAGTTTGTTTATTTTTGTTTGTGTCACAAAAAAAGAAAATAGGAATAAATAAATTTCAGCAGAAACGCCTTCCTGTCTGGATCAGCGAGTTTGTTCCTCTTTGGTCCGGTTCTGTTCCCTGATCCAGAACCGAGCCCAGTATCAGGTTTTCACCAGCAGCTTTTGATGTAGCAGAATGAAGGAGAAATGAAAGTTTCACTGAATCTTCTGCTAATTAAATATTTTAGATGTTGTGGTTTAAATCCGCATGAAGCCTAAAGTTTGTCTTTAAAAATAAAATAAATGTTTTGTGTTCACAACTTGTTTAACAGCATTTTATCGACATTCTTCATTACTGGATAATTGTTCAAATTTTTTTTTTCTTCCTGCAGGAAAAAGAAGTGTTCATCGTCTCACAGCTAAAAACTAAAGGCTTGACTCTACGAGATGAAAATGGTGAGGTTTGTAAAACAAAATTAGATGTTTAAAATAAAAATAAATTACATTTTCTGTGAAAATACAAAGTGAACACTGAGATCTATGGTACTGAAAAAACTCAATAAAGCCAAGAGAAGCTAAATGCCAACTATAAAGTAAAAGTACTAAATAGCTAAAAGTAGCAAAAGGTTATCTGAAAGCTAAAATAGCAAAAAGGTAAAAGTAGCAAAACACCAGCTAAAAGTGGCAAAAGGTTAGCTAAAAACTAAAGTAGCAATAGGTTAAGAAGTAAATAGTGAAAAGTAAGGATAGGCTAGTAAAAGCTGTAAATGGTTAGATAAAAATAAGAACAGACTAGTTAAAAGCTAAAAGTATCAAAAGGCTAAAAAGTAACAGACGTAGCCAAATGTGACTAAAGGCTAGCTAAAAGTAGAAATATGTTAGCTTAAAGATAAAAATAGCAAAAAGACAGCAAGAATATTACAAAGTAGTAGCTAAATGTATCAAAAGATTAGCTTTAAGCTAAACATAAAACAAGACATGAACAGAACCAGCAGCTGAAGCAGATTTCAGTGTTTGTTTATGGAGATTTTTTTTTACGTGAACAAAGATTACCGGTAATGTTTTATAAATAAAATTAAATATTTTGAAAAGTTACAAAAACTCTAGTCCCACCAGTCATCTATGAACGGCTAAAACAAAGTTTGCAGAAGGAGTTAGACTGTAAAAAAACTTACAGAAAAATAAGCATTGATGTGAATGCTGAGTCGACGTTCAGATTATAAACTGATGATGATGTCGTCTCCTCCTCAGGAAGGCGTCGGGCTCTGAGCAGTGAGGAGATGGCTCTGTTTTATAAAAGCTTCCTGGACAGAAACAGAAGTCGACATGCCGACTACAACAAGTGAGTTTTTGTTGTTTCCTTCTTGACGTCTCTCCTCGGTGCTGGTTCTGATGGGACCATTCAGCTCCCTCTGCAGAAGCTGTGGCTTTAAACGTTCGGGATCACCCCGAGTATAAACAACAACAACTAATGTGTCCAGCTCTGTAGGGTTTTCTGTAAACCAGCGTCACAAAGCTGTCTGATGTGACGTTTGATCTGTTTCATCAGAGTCAGCCGAACTGATGGTTGATCCCTTTAATTATCGTGTTAATGACGTCTGCTCTTCTCCCTGAACTGATCGTTTCTTTTCTCCTCCTGTCCAGAGAATGGTACCGGCGAAACTTCAGCATCACGCTGCTGATGGCCCGAGTTGCCCTCAGTGGCGTGTGGAGGACCGTCGTTGACAGACAGCAGGAGAAGAAGAAGAAGAGGAGCTCTCCGACCACGTGACAATAAATCCGATATGTACCTGTCCGGTGTTTGTTTATCTGCTCCTCCGTCCTTCAGCAAAACGTTTGGTTTAACAACCAGAGAACTCCAGTACTTATTTTATTTTAAAGTACAAGTTGGTTTTCCAGAAAGTTTATGTTTTAACAAAATGAGCAGAATCAACACCTCTGGCTGAGTTTTGAAAGAAACCTGGAACCCTGAAGATCCAACAGAGTTGAAATAACTCCATTATTGGGAAATAGAATCACAATACCACCACAGACCTGCCAAGAGAAGGTCTTCCACCAAAACTCAGAACAGGACAGGAGGACACGAATCAGAGAGACGTCCAGGAGGACAAAGATAACCTTGATGGAGATGGATCTGTCCACAGGAGCACTAGAAGTTGGACGGACCTGAACTTCATAAGAGTGGACATGAAGGAGATGCCAAACGTGTGGTAGAAGGTCAGATGAGATGAGGACATTATGACTGGTTCTCATGCTGAGAACAGCATCCCTACACTGAAGCACGGTGGTGGCAGCATCATGCTGTGGGGATGATTTCCATCAGAAGGGACCGAGAAACAGGTCGGAGGTTTTTTTAATTTTTTTTTTAAAAAGAGCAAAATACAAAGAAATTCTTGATGGAAACCAAAGAGCTGTGAGACAGACGGAGGTCCACCTTCCAGCAGAACAATGATCCTGAACACACCGCTGAAGACGCAGTCCACTGGTTTAAAGAGAACCAGGTAAAGGTTCTGGAACGGTCCAGTCAAAGCCCGGACCTCGGTCCATCTGAGAATCTCTGATTTGAAACTCAATGCTGGAGCTGCTGACAACCTTTTGAATCTGTTTTTCAAAATAAAACATTTTGCATTTCCAAAATGGTGGTGAAATAAATTATCCAAATTCATTTTAACTTTCCAAACCTTCGTACAAAACAACGGTTGCTTTGTTTTTATCATGTAACATATTGTGCTATCGTTGATCAAAATAAACTCTAATAATAATAAATGTAAGGCAACAACAGACAGGCTATCTGATAGCCAAAAGTACCAAAATGATAGAAAAAATTTAGCTTTTTTTATTCAACCTTTATTTATACAGGTTAGTCTCATTGAGTCACGAGGACTCATTCACAAGAGAGACCTGATTTAAACACAACACAGATGAGGTACAACAATAGACAATCGTATAAAAAGCATAAAATGAAAAAGTAAATGGAAGAAATAAAAATGTAAAAAAACTGCCATAACTTAAAACTTTAGCTTAAAGCTAAAGTAGCAAAAGGCTAACTAAAAGCTAAATGTAGCAAATGATTGCTATAAATATGAAAATGCTAAAAGCACTAAAAAAATAAGCAAAGTAGCAAATGTCTAGCTGATGGTTTAAAGTAGCAGAATGCTTGGTAAAGTAGCAACAAAACAAATGTAAGAAAATGCTAGTTAAAAGCAAAAGATTCCAAAAGAAGCCAAATTTAGATAAAAGGTTGACAAAGGTAATGTAAAAGCTAAAATAGCAAAAAGGTAAAGCAGTAAAGAGCTAAAAGTAGTAAAAAGTTAGCTGAAGGCTAAGTAACATTAGGTAATTCAAGGATTCACGGTTATTTGTCATTCCACCACATGTAGTACATGTACAAAATTATGTACACAGGGTCCCAGTTACATCCAACAGAGGTATTAAAATCTTTTTAAACTCACCACATCGCCAACAGTAGAAACATAACTCTCTTGTGAGGCTGTCAAGAGTCTAAGTTTGCTCACAGTTTAAGACTTCTTAAGGTCTGAGTTGTAGTTTTTACACAGCCGCTGTGAATTTGAGACTTACTTTTCCATTTTCCCCTCTGAAAGTTGACCAGGGAATGGCAGAAACAGTTGTCTGGTTACCATGGTGACCACAATGATCCAATGGCAGCAACTTTTAACATCCATCCATCCATTATCCTTACCCGCTTCTTCCTTTTTGGGTCGCGGGGGTCACCGGTGCCCATGTCCAGCGGTAACTGTGCGAGAGGCAGGGTACACCTTGGACAGGTTGCAAGTCCATCACAGGGCCACAAAGAGACAAACAGCCATGCACTCTTTCACCTAGGGACAATTCAGTTACCAATTCACCTAACATGCATGTTTTTGGTCTGTGGGAGGAAACTGGAGCGCCAGGAGAAAACCCACACATGCACGGAGAGAACACTACAAAGTCCACCCAGAAAGGCCCCCCGGACCGGGATTTGAACCAGGGTAACCTGCTCGCTGAGAGGCAGCGGCTCTACCAGTTGCTGCCCTTTTATTTACATATTGCAGTAAATGAATCTGGTTTCTCACTTTGAACCGCAGCTTCCCTTTTCACCCGGCGGGATGACGTCAGCTCTGGCAGGGACTCCGGGAGGAGGGACTCCATTTTCAGGCTCAGTCACCGGAGGACGGAGCTGTCACTTCCAGGACCGAACAGGGGGCTTTAGTTTTATTGTGGCCCGGCCTTCTGTCGCCGCTGGTCGGCAGGTTTCATCATGGAGGCTCCGGGAGACAGGCGGCACCTGAACGGCTCTGACTAAATCCTGGCTGACCATTGAAACCACGTTATTTCAGCGTTAGTCGCCGATACCCGCAGCAACCCGGGTGGAAACACTTCCTAGCGTAAATTATGGTTCTAACAGCTGGCTGGCAGCAGGAACCATAAACCTATTTTTGTTGTCGTTACGAGGAATCGGAACTTTTGTCTTCTAAAGACCGAAAAGGATCGTCACAGTCTGGTATAACTGGCAACGAATGTCCAAGGGAACGGTAAGAATGGCTCCGTGTATTTCCTGAACTGCGCTAATATTCTAATTTCCCACGTTTTAAATTAGATTTTTTTTTACATTTTTATTATTGAATTATTTTATTTTCTGAGGGCAAATGAATCGGGCATTTTTGACTCGGGCAATTAATGTTTGTGTTGTCCGTGATGCCAGGAATTAGACGCCGCCCCCGAGGGCTAGCTCTGTTAGCCGCTGTGTTTGACAGGAAGGTAAAGGTTTGCTAGTTCATCAGGTTGATCCACTTTAAGGCACACCGTTTAAACAAAGCGGGACCGAACCGAGCCCAGGGAGCCTCTGCAGACTCACACGGTGTGTCTTGTCCTTGTGTCCTCTCATTGACATTCCCAGCAGGCTGGGACGTGTTGGACGGACAGACAGTGGACCTCTGTGGGGCTCACACAGCTGGGAGACACGGGGGGGGGTTTCCAGGACCATTCAGGATTTTACACAAAGTTTATAAAATGATTTCCCTCATTTTAAAATGTCCATTTTCACAGCCTGTAAAACTAACCATACCCCTGCAGCTGATGCTGTTGTTGTGTTTGTTTACAGGTGGTAAACAATTTAATTAAACCACTTTAATGTCTGTGACTTAATGTTTACCCCTTCAAAATTATACATTTGTTGAATACGGTGAAGTTAATCTGATTAATCTGCTGATGCTGGCCACTTTTTTTTAGGTTCGAGTTTAAAAGTTGTAAAATATACATTTATTTAACTTAAGCAATCCTTGTTATTATGTTTAATAAAAATGAACATTGGCAAATTAAATAAATAAAAATCTGTGTTTATCATCCATCTGCTGCTTTGATTTCTAACATCATCAGAAGAAAACCTTGACTTCTAAGGTAAAGCAAACATAAAGGAATATTTAGGCGGTTTTAAAGTGGTGACTACTGTCATAGTTATAAGTAATAGTATCTTACCTGTCGTAGGTGACTTATTTGGAGAAACGGTTTAATTCTGACAAGCTGATGAGCTAACGGTTGGTCCGAATTAGAGCCGGTACATTGGGTTCGCTTTATGGACTCTGGTTAATCTGAATCTAATTCTCTTGAGTCAGTCACGCTGCACACAACCCTCGTATTTGTTCTAATGAACAAACTTTCAGATGATGGAACTAAAGCGTAAAATGTGTTAAATGTAAACGTGAATGTTATGACTCGTCTGAATCTGGAGTTTTTAAAAAGGAATCCTGAGTCTACAGTGATTCAGATCATTCTGCTGTTTGTTTGTTTTGGTGAGAACTCAAGGACTTAGGTCTTCCATAGGACGGCAGGTCCATGGACTCCTGATTCAGAGGATTCAGATCATTAATCAGCGTGAGTCAGGAACTGGACAGCTCTTGTTTCAATTCAACCAAGGCAGCGCCCTAAAATGGCTCCAATCTTAACATTTTAATAGCGATTTATGCAAATTGTAATCCCTCATAATCCGCCTTTTAATTCACATTTCATTATTCTTTAATTATCTTGAATTAAAACGGAGGCAACAGTGGAACGTAGAGCGTGTTATGTTAAACTGCTTAAATCATTCTGAAGTTTTGAAGGCTGGAGGCGTTTAAAAGTCAGTTTCATGTTTCATCACGACATTCATGTGGAGAACTAAAGTGATCATCTTTGTCTAATTTAGTTTTTGCTTTCAAACATGCAGGTTTTTTTTTAAATATCTGGAATTAAATGTCTGCTTCAGTGTCATTACCATACCATACCATTATAAACTTTAGGCTGTTTGTAGCAAGATGGAGCGTCTGATCTGTGCACCAGATTGTTTCTGATGCCCACCTCTGTCAGGAGCTGTCAGTCACACCTGGACTCCAGGCCCCGCCCGCACGCGGGCATCTCTGCCCACAAGTGGACGTCTCTGTCCACAAGTGGACGTCTCTGTCCTCATTTATGTCAGATGTTGACAGGATGAAGGGTTTAGTCTGTGGTGCTGAGGCGGAGGACCGGCTGGTTCGGTCAGTTTCATAACGATGCTGTGACTCTGGACCTCTGGTGTTCTGGTTCTTTGTGAAGGCTCAGTCTGACTATAAAATACCTTCTTATTTAAATATCTGACCTTTGAGACTTTTTGCAGATTTTTTGCAAATATTTTTGGCAAAAATGCTAAAAGCTAATTTAACGCTCACAGTAACTCACAATCACATCTTTTGCATGTTACCAATGTTTAAAAACTTATTTTTAATCAAATATTTTATTGTGGAAGTCATTTCACTTCCAACAAAGTCCATGCTCAATAATCCAGGTATACAATCCAACATTTTTCAGTCAGGTCATCTGGACAGTTTCTTTTTGATTGTATACCTGGATTATTGAGCATGGACTTTGTTGTTTTCAACCAGTTTGACACGACTGTCAACAAGGAAGAGGGTCGGCAATGGAGGAGGGGGCGTACCAAAGAGACCATCTTATCACAAGCAGAACTGGTTTGTTCCACTTTGGAGTAGGCTGTTGGAGGAAGAATCAGTTTTGTTGTGTGTTTCCTTGACTGATGAAGCCTTCTGGATCAAAGGTGAAACGTTTCAGCACAAAAAAAGAAACCGTCCAGATGACCTGACTGAGAAATGTTGGATCATTTCACTTCCATTTGCAATGAACTTCAATCTAAAAATGAAGGAGCAGATTTTATTAAACGTATTTAAGGTTGTTGTTATAAAGTTTTGTGAATTAGACTTCGGTGTTTTATCTTATTTAAATAAATATTTTAGTCATGTAAATATGCAACAAAATTACGACTTTGGGGTTTATTTATTTAAATGCCAACTGTTACTGTTGTTAAATTGTGTTTTATGAAACTGTTTTAGTCAGAACATTCTTGTACATTAAATATTTAATCACAGTGAGCTTCAGGTAAAACAAACAAACGATAATAATAAAGAAAATAATAATAATAATGACAATAATAATAATAAAAAAGAAAACAATAATAATCAGAGTGGCTTGAGTAACATCAAACCGTTTTTTGAGATAAATTGTATATTTTAAATTCAGCAGCTTTATTTGAATATTTTTCAGGTTTTTTTTATGATTGACCCATCACAACTTCATAGTCTCCTCTGGAGTTGCTGGTTTCGTTAGTGTGCTGCGTCAACTTCCTGTTTCCTGCTTCCTGTTTCCTGCTGTGCTGATTGGCTGCCTGCCGGCTGATGCTGGGTCACGTGGAACGATCGATCTCTTCTCAGCCTGGTTCGTTCAGGACAAGTTTTTGGGTCTGGTTCTTTTTCTGCTCTTGCTGCACCTGCTTTCACACCGAGGTGGACATGCTGCTCCCTCGCTGGTCCAGGAGTTTCACTCCAGTGTTTTCACCGAGTCCAGCTGTGATTGAACTTTTGCGTAATCATTCAGCCGAACACAGAGCAGCTCGTCCTCTATAGAGGGTTCTATTCTGCTGAACATTGTCTTTTTCTGTGGGTCCTGCAGACAGGACACAGTGTGAGACAGACTGGACAGTGTGTGAGACGAATGGACAGACGGTATTGCGTAAGTTGGACAGGACAGGTAGTGAGATGGATGGATGGGACAGGGTGTGAGACAAACACTGGAAGTGTGTCAGGTAACTGCATCCAGTACGCATAAAACCAAGAACTCAATATCTACAACAGCTTGGTTCTTATTGAGGCAGATTCAGGATCTGGACCTTCCACATACCTGAAGCGACTTCATGAAACCAGGAATGGACTCGCCCATAACCGCGCCCTCACCTGCCGTACTGCTCACACCTGACCTCAGTTAGGATCTCTCACTCAGCTAAAACTAGAAACTCAGATTTGTGGGGTAAATCTCATTTTCAGCTGCGGTCTCTGAACTCGAGTCTGGGACCAACCAAAACGGTTTTCAAAGTTCTAGCGTGCACGGCTTCTGAAACACTTGTTCGTGCACATTCTGTCGCCCTCATCATACCCCGCCTCGGCAGCCGCCTCCACATTTACACTTTAAAGAAGAGGACAGACAAATTTGGACCTGTTGCCCAATAACAAAGTCCTTGCTCAATAATCCAGATATACAATCCAACATTTTTCGGTCAAGTCATCTGGACAGTTTCTTCTTTTTGTGTTGACTGATGAAGCCTTCCGGATCGAAGGCGAAACGTTTCAGTACAAAAAAAGAAACTGTCCAGATGACCTGACTGAAAAATGTTGCCCAATAGTTTTTATTCCTCATCAGTGTGGAGTTCAGATGTTTCCCTCTTCATTTTCCCTGCTCATGGTGAGTTATTGTCTTTTCTGTGGTCCTCTTCCATTAAGGTCTTGAAACGGCTCCTGGTTTGGCCCCTCAATGAAATCTATTTGTTTTGGGAGACCTGAACAGGAGAAGACCCAGCAAAGATTGTAGCCTCCTGGATCTTGGGCTCAAACCCCTCCATCACGTTAAACTCGGGAGGAACAGTTCGGATTTCCTCCTGGTCCTGGAGCAGTGGATCATCTTCCCCATAGTTGCTGAGGGGGTCATGGGAGTTTGAGTCTCCAGTCTCTCCATCTTTTCTGAAAGATGGTGGCATACACGGATGTTGTGACTCACGGCTCTGTGCAGTGAATTGGTCACGTGAACATGTGTAACACGTAGACGTTTAATAATCTATTACGTCATCACCTTCGGTTAGGGTTACCGGGGTATCCTCCTTGGAAAATAATCCCAGAAACCCTGATTGGTGCTCTCACCTGCAGTCTGAGTCAGGAACGCTGCGATCACCTGCTGTCTGTCAGACTGCAGACCTCGCTCTGCTCTGATTGGGTCAAACTGTGGCGCTGGTTCTGTTTATCTCTATAAAGCTTCGTCAGTTTTATCCCTATATGATTATTAGATTGGATGGCTTTAAAAAGACCAACACAAACGATAAACAACTTGTTCCCCTTTCATTTTTACAGATGATGGAAATTTGTCGCATTGGCAGAGAACTTTAATCCATATCTATTTCACCGGACAACCACGAGGCGAGATGTGGTTATCTGAGACGGAAATAGATTGTCTCGGACAAATGGAAACCACTCAAGACCCGTGGGGCTTCTAATGGTTTTGGACCAGGTGATGGTGAATGTTCACTCTGGGTTGGGGGTGAGGAGTTTTAAAGATCGAAGCCTCGTTTGCAGTGATGAGAGGGTTGCTCTGATCTGTCGTGTTGAGGCTGAGCTGAAAGGCAAAACTATGGATTTACCGATCCTTCTTGACCTCAGCTGCAGTCATGAGGTCTGGCTCTGGACTGAAAGAACCAGATCCTGGATCCAGGTGGCTTAAGTGTGTCAGAACTTAGAGATCACATGGAGCTCTTAGTAGAACTGCTCCTCTTCATCGTAAGGACTCAAATGAGGTGGTTCAGGGATCGGATTAGGGTGCCTCCTGGACCTCTGGAGGTTTTCTGAGCACTGGAAGAAGACCCAGGGGCAGATCCAGAACTGTATCCTCTGTGGTCTGGGAGCACCTTGGGATCTTCAGGAGAACCTGGAGGGTGTTTATGGGGAGAGGGAGGTCTGAGTTCTGGTTTCAAATTTTTATCACAGCTGATCTAATTTATTTTTGTTTTAATGGTTCTCTGTAACAAATCTGGACTTTTACAGAACCAGTTATACCTACATTTAATCGGGGCTGTCTGTGCGAGGTTCTTGAGCTTCACAGAACAGGCACCCCCATCGCTGCCTTGCTCAGAGGCACCTGAACCAACTGGGCCTTCACCTGAAGAAACATCCAGTCGTTCAGGCAGCCAGGTGTTGATCAAAAGGAGATAAATTAAAACTATAAAAGGTGTCTGCTGTGAGATTAGAATACGTCAAAAGATTTAATCTGGGGCTAAAATATTTGAATTGTTCTTTAACAAGTTTCCATTTCCTGTTGGTCTGGTCTTTTATCTTTTCAGATTGAGCCTAAAGATTACAGATTAGCTTCAAACACAGATTAAATTTGACTAAATGCTTGGGAATATACAGGATTTTTATATTAAATATATCATGACTTCCCCCATTTTTTTTTATCTTTAGGATGCGTGAGGACATGTCCACCATGGTGTGTGTGAAGGAGGAGGAGGATCCGGGGGACAAACTGTCCCAAGATGAGATCATCTCTCGTACCAAGCAGGTGATCCAGGGTCTGGAGGCTCTGAAGCAGGAGCACCACTCCATCCTGGACGGTCTCCTGGGCACTCTGCGCTGCCTGAAGCAGGATGAGGAGGGGGTCCTGGTAGAGGAGAAGTCCCACATGATCCGCAAGTCCCTGGAGATGCTGGACCTGGGGCTGAGCGAGGCTCAGGTGGGTAGAACTCGAGATCTTTGTAGATGAACATATGCATGATATATTCATAAATTAAACGAGTTCTTTCATTTTTCTGGACTGTATATAACGTGCATTGAATTTAATAAAATGTATCGTGAGACGTTATTTATCTTTGACCCATCAAAATGAATGTGGTCATTTATTTACAGAATCAAAGTTTAACATCAAACATTTACATCAATTTGGCACATTGAAAAATAACAACATGGCTGATTTTAGCGAGCTATACAAGTGATTGATTGTCCACACGGCGGTGGATGAGCACTTTACACAGACATTTCTAAAATATCTGGAATGATTTCTACTTGATAGAAGAATTTTTAAAGATGGAAAATGAAGTTTAAAGGAAGGGAGATGGTGTGTGTATGAGTGAAAAGTGTTGACAGCACGACACCCTCCATCCGACCCAGCTTTCCTCGGTACGCTCGGTAGTGGACTAGACTCATTACCTCTCTGAAGATGAATCAGCGGAAGAGGAGCTCCAGTTAACGCTACCTTTCAGCGTCTCCGTAGGATGGCAGAGATACATCCGGAGTGTTGACGGGACTTCGTCAACAACAGTTCACCTCAACGAGTGGACTTCACATGAGTGGGGTTCGTCCGAGTTCCACTCAGAGGTGGAAGATGTTTATTTAACCAGGAAAATGCCATTGAGATCATAGATCTCTTCTGCAAGGGAGGTCTGGGCCTGAAGGCAGACTAACATGCATGCTTTTGGTCTGTGGGCAGAAACCGGAGTACCGGGAGAAAACCCACGCAAGCACGAGAAGAACATGCAAACTCTACACAGAAAGACCCCAGGTCCAACCGGGGATTGAACCCAGGACCTTCTTGCTGCGAGGCAACAGTGCTAACCACTGAGCCGTCATGTTGCCAAAATAACATAACACAAAGTCTGCAGAAGTACCATAATTAGATTGTAGAATATAGATTAGATTGAAATTACATTGGGTGTAGAGAGAAAAAAACAACTGAATTCACAGAATAAAATGATTTATTTTTATTTATTTTTTTTTATTTAATTTAATTTTTTAACCACCTGGAGGTGAAAATAAAACTGAATAAAAGCACCAGGTTGGTGGTATGCTTCCTTCCTTCGACTGATGTTGCTCTGAGTCAGAGCTGGTGCTTCAGCCTCTGGTCTTTGTTTCCCTGCAGGATCTAAAACTGTTCCAGCTCTTTATTCAGACTAATTTACACCATCAGCTGCAAAATGTCCCTCATGTCTCTTCTCCGCAGACTGTTTATCTGTTGACGTCTCTCCGGCCGTCCTGCCTCACCACCGTTTGCTGTTCTGTTGGTGGTTTTACCCATAATGCAATGCTGTAACTGTAGCGTTGCTGAAGCAGAATGCATGGTTATGAAATTATGCTAAAGGTTTTGGTCAAAGCCCAGCTTTTTAAATCCACACTTTAGCTCAGATGACAAGTTAACCTTCATTCACCTAACTTCCTGTCTGAACCCCGCCCTGCCCAGGTGATGATGGCGCTGTCGAGCCACCTGAGCTCAGTGGAGTCGGAGAAGCAGAAGCTCCGGGCTCAGGTACGCCGGCTCTGCCAGGAGAACCAGTGGCTGAGGGACGAGCTGGCCGGGACGCAGCAGAAGCTGCAGAAGAGCGAGCAGAGCGTGGCCCAGCTGGAGGAGGAGAAGAAGCACCTGGAGTTCATGAACCAGCTGAAGAAGTACGACGAGGACCTGTCCCCCTCGGTGAGTGTTGTTCTCTTCACGCTTCTTCTACAGCTCAAACTTCAAAATGTTGGCACATTTTCTTAGATTATTACAAAATTTTCTGATTTTTTTATTACTTTAAATAATTACGACGTTATGTTGTTTTTAAAATATATTTTATTAAGTGGCTCAATCTTTAAAAATGGCAATCAGCCTTTTTTCTGACTGAAATCCAAATGTTAGATAAACCACCAGGATCGACCTTTCATGCTGTAATAAAAAAAAATATTATTTTTAGTTTTTCCTCTTTTTTTAAATTTATTTATTTATTTATTTATTTTTAACCGATTTTACCTCACATGTATGGTTTTAATCACAGAAGATGATAAGTTTTAGTTTGATTAATTATTTTGAATGTGGCTGGAGCAAAAATACTAAAAATAAATAATAAAATTAGACTATAAACAACAGAACAAGTCAAAGTTTGGTTTGAAACGACGCAGGTCTAAACTTAAGTTGTACCTCAACGTTCATTCAGGAACTTTCAATCTCCAAATTTTGTTGTATTTAGGTGCAATCATCAAAAAGGTCTACTATATTTTATTCTATTTTATTTTATTCTAACACCGTCCTTGTTTCATTATGTTGGTGTGTTTATTAACAGCCATTACGTTTTATATGAACACTCACAGATAAATGAATAAATCATTATTTATCCAAGTTTAAATGAATCTCCGCTGCTTTTCAAGTGTTTTGTTTTTTTCATCTCCAACATCTGAACTCGGCACTGGGAACTTGAGACATGATGCAAACTTTAAAGTTTTCATCAATATTTCTCCTGCTGATTTCTTTTATTTTGTAATTATTATTATTTTTAATTAAAACAAGCTGCTGTCAGTACACGTGAAGTATTTTTGTAGTCTGTGTAAACTGACCCTATCATCAGTTGTTTTTTTTATATACTTTTTATGGATGTATTGCGTTTAATCCCACCCCCATAGGAGGAGAAAGATTGTGACTCTAGTAAAGAAACCCTGGATGATCTCTTCCCAGACGACCAAGACGACCAGCCTCCAGGCAGTAAGTGTTCAGTTTTCTCATCATCTCGCTTTTTGCATTCAAATATGAAACAGCCTGAGATGGATTTTACTGAACGGGGCTCAGATTAGATCAAAGAAGCAAAGAGCTTTTTAGGACAACAACCAAGTAAATAAATATGCAATATGTTTGTTTTTTCTGTACCAATGCCAAACCGTGACTTTTCTGACGTGTTTAACTCCCGGTGGTTAGCCGTTAGCATTTTGTTCAGATATTAAGACTGACGATCACATTTAAAAGCTTACAGAGAAAAAAAAAAAAAAAAGATCATGAAATGTTAAGAGTTGTGATGTAACTACTACAATAACATTATTATCTATCTACGCCTGTTTGCATATTGATGTGTATAAATTCTTACCGAGGCTCTGTTTACATGACGTGAAACTGTAGCACTTCTGCAGCGTTTTGGCTGTTTGTGTATACGACAACAGCTGTAGATTTCTGACACCGAAGCTTTTTGAATCCAGGGGAAATCATGTGTGCGTACCACAGACGTTTGCAGTCCGTAGTTTGTCTATACTTCAGTAGATGAACAACGGTAACACAAGAGGACAGGAGAGTGCTGTTTGTCCTGCTCACACCTTTCCCCGTTTAGAAGTGACCCAACCTCATCCTCAGTCCACACAAAGTCGGCTGTAGTCACCGGTTTAGATGCATGCAGGTATCTGAACATGTGTGTGTTGATGAAATCCAAAATTCATAGCCCCAGCTAGCAACCCAGCATGGAAACTACAGCAGATCAACGAGCACAGCGTTCTCGTATAAACATGCGACTGTTCCACAAACAACGGAGAAACGCTAACGTTTCCAGACATCGTTCAGGTGTAAACAGGGCCTCAAATTTCAGGTTTTACAGTCGGGTAGCTACATTTGAGGATGGATTAAACCAAGTTAAAGGACTAAAACCAAAATAAAGTTACTTTAAAGGAGTGCATATATGACCTGTGATGGCAAAATGAGTCACAATGAGGAGTTTTTCAATGTTGACTTTTTATTTTTTAATTCTCCATCTGAAAATCTTCAAAATGATCCATAGTGTGTTCATTTTGTGATTTTTGATGTAGCAACAAGCTATTTTTTTTTTTATGGGAGCATCTATTTTTATTGGTCTGGAGTGACATCAACAGGAACCCCAGCCCTGTATTTAAAAAGGGGAGTCCCAAAGCTGATGATGCAAACATTATTATTATTATATTATACATTACTACAGCAGATAGCAGAAAAAAATAGTCAGTTTCAAAGGAAATTAAAATGATTATTTCTGAAGACAAACCTTTTACAAAACTTTAATTTAAAGGTAAATTAAGAAGATCTCTAGATGGAATTTTTTAGGACGCGTTTTTACGCAGATCTCAATCTTAGAAATTTATATTTACATTTTATTTTGTTGTAGCTGGGACTCAATCTGATGGATCACAAATTATAATCTGTTAACACTCAGAATATGTGTTGAGGATGACTCTCAGCTACTACCACAACAAACTTCAGCTCATTATCTGTAAAACTGATTGAATTACAGCCACTTATGTGTTGGGGGAGGTAGATTAGCTGTGGCAGCCATCTTGAAACTGGTTGACTCTAGAAATCAATTGAACATCCAGTGGTTAATTTCTGAAGGTTTTATTAAAATTAGACCTGTGTTCCATGAGATATTTTGCTAACACAGTACACAAGCCAAAACATCATCACCCTCCTTCATCCTCTCAGTGGTGGATTGAGCAGCAGCAGTTTCTTCATGTTGTTTTTAATTCAACTAAAGATAATCATAACATCTGTCTACATTTTACTGCCTCTGATCAGGGGCAGGTCAGCTCAGTCACACTCCACTGAAGCTCCGAGTCTTTTAAATAAATGAATAAAACATAAAAGCAACAAAGAGAGGGATGGATTGTGTTGAGGCAGAAAGTTAAACGTCTCCACCAGCATGTGAGTCGCCTCAGGCTCATCCAGCTAAAATGACTGCTGGGGTGGAGAAGATTAGATGTCTCCTTCTCCTCTGCTAATAGAGACTCCCAAAGACGCTTTAACGTTTTAAGTGTTGTCAACAGAATGAGGTTCACTGGGATGATGGCTCTGCCTTCATGTACACAGGCTCACAGGCCAATTTAATCTGTAAATATTCCCATTTTACTCACGGAATGAGCTTCTTAAACACCAGTTTGAAGGAGAATTGTAATAAATGGATAAAAGATCAAAAAAGCAGAATTTATTGTAGTTTTTTTTTTTTTATTACAACATATGTTTTGTAAAGCAGGTACTCCTAATGTATTTCTGACTCAACACAGTAGCTCCTGACTCCTGTACTAATACCCAAACGCTCACATTGAACTACTGAATTCCACCAGAACCAGAATGGGTGTCCATCTGGCTGACACTAGGTGACGGGACGGTTTAAGGTTAATTCCTGACATGTTGACATTTCTGTTCTTTCCGTTTCCAGTGCAGCCGGCTCACGGCAGCGCCGCAGCAGCAGCAGCCCAGCAGGGGGGCTACGAGATCCCGGCTCGCTTGAGGACCCTTCACAACCTGGTGATCCAGTACGCCTCTCAGGGCCGCTACGAGGTGGCTGTGCCCCTCTGCAAACAGGCTCTGGAGGACTTGGAGAAGACCTCTGGACACGACCATCCAGACGTAGCCACCATGTTGAACATCCTGGCGCTTGTTTACAGGTAAAACATATTTTATCACATTGTCTTTGTTACCCTCACCACACCGTGACGCGTTTCCCTGAAACATTTGGCACGTCTCAGAGCGTCTTGGTGCCTCGATGTCAGACAGACCCAAACACAACCAGACATGAGCCAAGATTTAAAGTTCAGCTGAGTGTTTGTGTTTTTGTCCAAAGAGACAGGAACAGAAAATAAAATGGTCAAGAACTGGGCAAGGGTTTCACAGAGCTGTTGTCCCCTTTACACACATGAATCAGAGTTTGTGGTACCAGTTGATTTGGTACACTGAAGGATAAAAAGTCTAGACCACAACAATTGGCTACATTTAACTGTGGGAACCAGGGGTTGATTTGAGCTGGATCCTGCTGGAACAGGATCTGGAAACTCTTTTATTTTGACACGGTGCATTCTGGCAACCGTTTGCTTGGATCCGGCAACGGTCAGGCTTACTAATAATAAAGTTATGAACAAATATGACTGCTTTGAACTAATAAAACTTATATTGGATATGTAAACTGAAAATAATTACATAAACACTCATTTTAAACACAGCAGCCACTTATGACTTCTTAATATCCTCACGATCATCTGCCCCTTCAAGTGAAGCATTTCCACCTCTACCCTTAAAAAAATAAAAATATAAATCTCCACCCCTAAAAAAGTGGTAGGGGTGAGTGCCTGGAGGTTTTGCATGTGGAGTCGGACAGTGAATTCAGCGGAGAAGAGTCAGCTCGAAACTGTAAAGTGGGGGGGGGGTAGGATGCAAGTGTTTACAAATGTAGGTAAATGTAGATGTTTAACAACCTCTTAAAATACACCAAAATGCAAGAAATCACATCTACTTTATTCAAAATTTTCTGGGAGAGGACCCCCAGACCCCGCTACCCTTCGTCCCCCAGCTGGCCTGCCTGCTATTTGTGTTCCGTCATCGATCAGTTTACAAATTAAGCCCTGGTGGGAACTGCAGGAGAGTCGTTTGGAACATGTCACCTGAAAACAAGCTGCAGTCGATCTTAATGTGTGTTTTCCTGTTTTCTGTTTGTCAGGGATCAGAACAAATACAAGGAGGCAGCTAACCTGCTGAATGACGCGCTGGCCATCAGGGAGAAGACTCTGGGCCGGGACCATCCAGCTGTGAGTACATGGACAGTCCTCTGTAGCACTGCTGTGACCGCTGGGTAAAGAGTAGACGGTTCTTTAGGTCAAGGGCCTGAAAAATAAGTTCCAACAGTCTAGAAAGGTATGGAGTTTGATTTTAGTCACATCTACATAAGTATGAAAAAATAAAAAGAGGATTGGGAAACATGGGCCAACAGGACCACATCATCCATAAATGTAGACAGAATCCTGGGACCATTGACCCAGACCCCTCCTCCACCCTCCCTGACTGTACCGAGAAATTCTGTGCATAAAGTTCTGAACAGAACCGGTGCCAGCGGGCCCCAGGAGTCCGGTTCATCCAAATCTGAAAGGTATATGGATGAACTGATATTCACATTAAATAAAAAAATATTCAAAGCATTGAACATTAAACAGCATAACGCCTTTTTGTATTCACAACAAATACAAGTGAACAATATTCAAAACTGCTCCAATTTGTTTACATTATAAATTAAAATATATAAATTAATTTAAAGACTGATATTAACACTTATAAAACCTTTGACCACACCTGTCGATATTTAATCTGTTCCTGAAGCAGCAGCTTCATCCAGCTCACTGTAGCTCCCAATTCAGTTATTTTAACCGAGCATGCTTTTCTGTAGAAGTGTAGAAGTTCTGCTAAGGGTCGTTAAATATGTTTGTTTAGGTTAAACATTTACTGTTATGTTTTTGTTAAATGAAAAAAATGGCGTTTATATCGTCCGTCTGCCGCCCAGATCTGAAAAGAACGGCCAAAGAAGAGCTCGTATGGGGCGAACCTCTGTTACTTCTCTTGAGTGATTTTAACTTCAGTGTCGATGTTTACAAATAATAATTTACTGTTTGTTCGTATCAGCACCAACAGTTGAACTGTGTTAACTGCAGCAGGCTGTTTGGACCTCCAGCCCTCTTCAGTTTGTCAAACTGAGGTTAGCGTCTCCTCTCACTTCCTGTCAACCAGACTCTGATTCTTCTTCAAGACCAATGTCGTATCTGGATGAAATCAAGTTCCACGTACGACACTGATTTAACGTTTTGTGATTGTTGCACTCCTCTTTAATCCCTTTTGTCTTCTCCCCGTGATTTAAATGGTTGCTGTTTAAATCCTGTGGTCTGCTGGTTGTTTACACTCAGATTTATCTCTGGCCATGATGGCAGGAAGACCATTCTGGAAGGAAGTTGTTTAGAGACGTGAAGGTTCTGTAACACTTTTGACATCATCAAACAGCACCTGTAGTCTTTCCTCAGGGTTCATTCTGAGGACTGAATGAGAGAAACAGACAGCCTTTAGATTTGACTCCTGGTTTAAGATGGAAGCAGCATCTTGAGTCATGTTCAGATTGTTGCTTAGTTTACACGTCTTCCTAAGTCGAGTGTTTCTGTCAGGATAGTTATAAATCTGTTTATTTACTGCATGAAAATAAAGTTTCAGCCCTTGTACCTTGTGGAGAGTTCTTGTTGACAAAACTAAACATTTATGTGTTTTGGACAAGTAGAGCACATCATTGGTGTTTTATTTTCCTACAGATGAGGGCGTGATCTTGATCTTTTTAGAACTTTTATTTTGTAATTACCAGTACAGGAGCAGCTTCCTCGTCTTCTATATCTGCTCTCTGCCACCCTGAGCCCAGTTTTTTTTCCTTCCCTCCTCCGGCTTCTTGGTCACTGTGGATGGCAGATCGTGATGTGAATCAGAGGTCAGAGCTGACCTGCAGGTGGCGCTCCTGAGTGCACTTGTCGCAGATTTATCATTCAGTTCGATTTGGATCAAATGACCCCCACCTTTAATCACTTCCTGATTCTGCACAGCCTGTTGCGCTTTGGTGGAGTGTTGTCGCTGCACACAGGTGAAGGACGTTTAAACTGCGTCAACGTTATAAAAATAAAGATTTTATGTCCCATCAGGTCGCTGCCACCCTCAATAACCTGGCTGTTCTGTACGGGAAGAGAGGCAAGTACAAGGAGGCGGAGCCTCTGTGCAAGAGAGCACTGGAGATCAGAGAAAAGGTGAGTCCTCCCTGCTCTAGCTTTAAACTCCAGCTCATTTCAGGTTCTGTTGCACACAGCTAGTAAAATAAATTAATAAAGAACGGCTGTCTGATTATCTGTTAGCAATATATATCTTTAACTACTGGACAGATTTTGATGCAACTGTCGGGATAAAATTGTTGGATGCACCATTCAAGATGGTTTCCAGCTGTAAGTCGTTTTACAAATATTGAGCTAAAATCTGGTGTGGCAGTAGCTGAGACTGATCCCCCAACATGAACTGTGAAGTCTAACAGAAAGGAGAGATTGTTGATTAAAAGTTTGGCACACAGGACGGCGGGTGATATGCATTCATTTAAAATGTTTTTAACGTTTTAAAATGAGGTAAATATCATCTGATTTAATAGTCAGCACGTTAGTTGTCTTATTTTTACTAAATATGACCGATATTGCAGTATTATTACAGAAACATTAACTTTATAAATAAATGTACCCATCTCAATATTTGACGTCTGACTGTCTTTGTCCCCTAACTGTCCTGAGTCTACTGGACATCTTCTGGACCCAAAGGGTGGATTACATTCTTCAGACGACATTTCGTGTTGCCCGTGAACCAATCAGAGTCCAGACGTCAGTTGAAGTTCAGCTCAGAGGAATCATTTTGCTATTTTACTAGAAATGAGAGAAGTTACTCGACTTCCTGCTGAGTGTGGCGCAACGCGAGTCCTGCTGAATCGGCAACATTTTTGTCGACGTTTAGGAAAACGGAGCTCCTGGCTGGAGCTGAATTTTCTGCTGTTTAAAGTGATACATTCAGCCTTAAACGTCCAACAAAAATCAACTTCCTGCTTGTTTTAAGAAGAAAAAAAACAAGTTTTATTTTAAAATCATTCTTCTAGATCAGGGGTTCTAAACTTGAAAAAATAAACTAGCTAGGATCGTATTATCCTTTAAGATGTCCAACCAGTCCATGGCATCATTTTTTTTTTAAACTAGCAGGAAAGTTTAGAGGAACTGAACACGTCTCTAACTGGTGATCCATATATATCTGAACCTTTGGGCTGTTCTGACCCATCCCCTTGCATGCATCTGTCCAGGTGTTGGGCAAAGACCACCCAGATGTGGCCAAGCAGCTGAACAACCTGGCCCTGTTGTGTCAGAACCAGGGCAAGTACGAGGAGGTGGAGTACTACTACATGAGGGCTCTGGAGATCTACCAGACCAAACTGGGTCCAGATGACCCCAACGTGGCCAAAACCAAGAACAACCTGGTGAGAGGGGAACGTTTCCTGAACACATTCATCTTAACGCTGACTGCTGGTTCCCCTGGTTTGATTTCTTCTGGTTTTGTTCGTCAGGCGTCGTGTTACCTGAAGCAGGGCAAGTTCAAGCAAGCGGAGACCTTGTACAAAGAAATCCTGACCCGGGCTCACGAGAAGGAGTTTGGTTCTGTTGATGGTACAACACCAGTCCATACAGATCTTCCTGCTGCTAACTAACTTAAATGAACCAAAACTTTTCAGAAATCTTTCATTTCCTTTGATTAAACGAGTTAAAACCTCTCTGACGCTGTGACCAGGACTCATTTATTGTTCCTCTGCAGATGAGAACAAGCCCATCTGGATGCACGCAGAGGAGAGGGAGGAACAGAGCAAGGTGAGCGTCTGCAGCCACAAAGCTAAACCCTCCTGCTGCCCGGGGGTCAAAATGACCCAAGGGCAGCAGGAGGGTTAACTGGTGCTCTTATTGTGTGAACACTGAGTCAGCACCGATATTCTGTTTTTCATCTCAACATTTTTTTTTCTTTGTAGTTTAACTACAGTACATCTGTATACTAGGTGTTTTGTTTTTTTTACCCATTAATGACCCAAAACGTTCAGTTTGTTCAGCAGATTGGTTTTTGTAACTTATTTACTTTTCAAAATATTTCACTTTATTTACAAATATTCTCCCCGTAACACATTTGGATCCTTCAAAAACTGTCTTCTTTTTGAAATCTGCTTTGGCTTCTGGCTCTGTTTTTGTGTTTATGTGCTACTATTGGCTTTCAGCTAATCTTTTGGCTACTTTTCGCTGTTGCTAGGTATTTGTTTTGAATTTTAGCTATGGTTCTGCTCCTAGCTGGCTACGGTTCTGCTACTTTTAACGTCGAGCTGTCATTTTGCTACTTTTAGCTTTGAATTATCCTTTTATTATATTTAGCATTTGATTACCTTTTGCTAGTTTTAGCTTCTAACTAGTCAGTTTCTACTGAAATCTATCCTTTTGCTGCTTTTGGATTTTAGCTTGTCTATTGCTGCTTTTAGCTAGCATTTTGCTACTTTTAACAATTGCTTTTCTATTTTTAGCTAAAGGTTTTATACTTTTAGCTAGCATTTTGCTATTTTTAATTAGCATTTTTATTTTTAGCTCTAATGTTGCTACTTTTAGCTAGTGTTTTGCTACTTTCAATTAGCATTTTTGTTTTTAGCTGTAGTTTTGCTACTTTTAACTAGCAATTTTCATTTTTAGATAGAGGTTTGATACTTTAACTAGCATTTTGCCACTTTTCGCTATCATTGTGCTACTTTTAGCTAGTGTTTTGCTACTTTTAGCTTTACCAACTCTGTTTCAGCTTCAGCAGCAGATTTCAGCAGTCATTCAGCTGTTGTCATCAGTTCAAACCCACAAATAAAACTTACTATTATTATATATTTTTTACAATGTTATTAATTTTCAAAAAGCTGTAAAGTAAAACAAATTTCTGGTGAAAATGTGAGGAAACTATCTTTGTTTTCAATCTTTGTTGATTTATTCACATTAATTATTCTCATTGCTTCCTGTCAGCTCTGACGTTAAATCATCTTCAACCTGTTTTAATTTTATAAACAAATGAATTAATGTGTCCATAACGTCTGCTCGCTCTCTCAGGGGAAGCAAAAGGACGGCTCACCGTTTGGAGAATACGGAGGCTGGTACAAAGCCTGCAAAGTCGACAGGTCAGTCTGTCTCTGTGAAGCTACAACATTCATTAATGTGACCTGACTGAACATTGTTGGATTTGTACCTGGATTATTGAGCATGAACTTTGGTGCAACATTCATTGCTGTTAAAAGTTAATAAATTGAGCTTTAAATGTTTTTTAATTAGAGTCTGTGTTAACGATGACTTTGTTACTACCACCCCCAGTTTTGTCTCACTCTCTGTAAAATTGACTGAGTTATGGCCGTTTGAACATCCAGATGTTCTGTAAGATGACTTGTTCATCCAGTAAAGGATTCTGGGTAATGAAGCTCCTGGTGTCTTACAGCCCCACGGTGACCACGACTCTGAAGAACCTGGGCGCTCTCTACAGGCGGCAGGGCAAGTTTGAGGCTGCTGAGACTCTGGAGGAAGCTGCAGTGCGCTCCAGAAAGCAGGTGAGGGTTCAGACTTTTTCCAGCTGTGTGGTAGTAGCTGAGAGTCATCCCCAACACATACTTCGAGTGCTGAAAGATGTAACTTGCATTCTTTCAAGGAACAGTCATTTGAACCTGATTAGTTTACTTCCTGTATTTAATGCTGTCTCTCCACCTTTTGTGTGGTTCTGATCCATCAGGGTCTGGACAACGTGCACAAGCAGCGCGTGGTCGAGGTCTTGAATGAGCCCGAGGTCCGAGAGAAGCAGCGGAGCCGCGAGAGCCTGACCTCGGACACGGTGAAGTACGAGAGCGGGCCAGACGGCGGCGAGGAAGTGAGTATGAGCGTGGAGTGGAATGGGGTAAGTACAGTACACAGCCCGCTGCGCTTTACTTTGAAAATCCCCCATATATACACCAGCCTGAAGCCTCAATTTTATTGTGAAAAAACAAGATTTTTACTCCAAACAGCCTGAAAAAGTTGTATTATGTAAAACTGACATTTTACACCTAATGACCTGAAGCCAGAGTTTTATTGTGAAAAACCGGCATATTTAAATCAAAGGGCATGAAGGCAGGGTTTTATTAGATATTTTTTTACTCTTATACAATTCTGGGTTGTTTTTTTTTTTTTGCAGCTGAAGCCAGAAAAGACAATCTGATGTTCTCTAGATTAAAATTTGATAAAAAAAATGGCTCTAATAATCCTGCCTAGTTAAGACCTCTAAGATTGATCGTTTTTATTTTACTTCCTTTCTCCTTATGTCAGCATCAGAGTCCTTTTACATTAAAAAATCTACTTATTTTTATCGCTATATGTCAAAATAAATCAGTAATCTGATCAATAATCGGATTAGATGATGCTGATCGTCTCTCAGCTGCTCCATTCTTCCATCATCGTGAATATTAATAATGCATCAATGTGAAGCTACTTTATTATGTCGGGGAGTTGATTTGTAGTTTAAAGCAGTTTAAATCAGACACCACCTGCCTGCTGCAGAGCTGCGGTTCTGATCCTGACGGTTCTGATCCTGACGGTTCCTTTAGGAACCTCTGCAGGATTTTTCTCGGCTCCCAGGGACTGCAGAGACTTTAAGCTGCTCGTCGCACACAGCAACTGTAGCCGTAGCAGCTGAACCGACCAATCAGAACCTCCTCTGGGGTCGGTGAGGCAGACCTGCAGTCTCCTTTAAATCAGGGGAGGGAGAGGTTTAGCAACGTACATAAGTGTTTTATTTTATTTTACCTATAGTCAGATGAACGAAGAACAACAAAAACATATAATTTTATAAACATTACTGCCTTATTAAAACTTCAGATCTAATATTTTTGAACCATTCAGATAAATCTTTAGCTGCAGCTGATAAAACACATGTCTGATTCAACATGGGCTCTGTACTGTACCCCTCCAGCTGCACACATGTGATGTTCTATAATTGTCTCTTTTATGTCCCTTTCTTCCTCACTAAACATGTTTGCAGCCAGATAGACTTTTTAAAATCCTGCAGGGTTTAAAGTAAAGTGAAGAAGCAGAGCTAATAAGCTCCTCCCCCCACACACTCTAACCTGTTAGGAGTTTAAAGGCATATCTTTAAATAAAATAACATTTAGTGCAAACGTCTGATCTAACTTTAAACTGGATCTTTAGTTTTAGTGAACGTCTGGCTGCTCTCATGTCTCCTTCCTGTCTGTCGGTTCTGCAGAACTTTAACTAACTGGTTCTGAGTTTATGAAACCCTGGTCCTTCGGGTCCGATGTCCTGCACGTTTGAGTTGTTCTGTTTTAAGTCAGGGGTTCTGAAGCAGCAGAACATCCTAAACATTCAGGATGTTGGCCTCCAAGTACTGGAACTGATGAAACAGCACCACCTTCTGGTCAATTTGGAGAACAAAGGTAAAGGTTCCCATGGGTCCAGTTGTCCTGGTGGGACGTTGTCCTAATTTATTCCTCCAGATGAGACCTTTAATCAGGTCCTGTATGTTCTCTGTTGTGGTTCTGAATGTAAATATTTATGTCCATGTTGGTGCATGAGGCCCCCTCCTGACCTTAAACATGCAGGATGGGGGTCCTGGAGGACCTGGACTGGACCGATCAGTTTGTTGTCGGTGGTGCTGCTTCATCTTGAAACTGTCTAATAACAAAACTGCTGTCCTCCTCAGTCCTCCTGTCCTACTTTGTCCTCCTGTTCTCCTCAGTCCTCCTTCGTCCTCCTATCCTCCTCATCTGCCTGTCCTCTTCAGTTCTCCTGTCCTCCTTAGTCCTCCGTCCTCCACCATCCTCCTGTCCTCCTCAGTCCTCCTGTCCGTCTCTGACCCTAACATCTTGTCTTCTGCTGTCTCTCCTTTTGTCTGAAAGCAGCCGTAACTCCAGATGTCTTGTTCTGCTTCTAAAATCTCATCTTCTGCATGATGGACGCCTCAGCTCCTTCAGCTTTGCAGTTTTCTTCACTTCTGACTCTTTTCTCTGGCGAGATTCTTCGCTCGGCGTCGACCCGAAGTGATCGTGTCTCTGACTGTGTCTGCTGTGGGGGGTGGGTGGGGGGGGGGGTTGAGCCTCTTTCTGTCTTTTTCACTCTTCTTCTCTTCTGTAAACTCATTTGATAGCTTCATGGAGGAACTGATCTTTAACATTTCAGCCTGGTCCACAATCAAAGTAGTTTGGGTTTGATTTGGATCAGAACCTCTCTGCTGTCTGAGGACACCTCTAAGACATAAAAAGTTAATTTTAAGGACATTCATGTTTTCACTCATCAGTTTAAAGTCATGAGAAGACTTTCAGATACTCCTCCACTGTTCCCTCCACCGGGTGTTTACAACTTTAATATGTAACGTTGTTTCTGAATCGTTTCATACTAGGGGTGTAATGGTACACGTGTTCAAATTGTGACGGTTCGGTACAGACGTCTGGGTCTGCTTAGTGATCACGGCGCCCAGAACTAACTCACGTTTTATTGAACTGCAGGAAATTCCGCAGAGGAAGATGATATTTAAACACTTTACACAAAACAAAACATGGCTGCTTTAGAAAAATGCGCAGAAGCTCAAAGATCTGCCTGTTTGCTCATAGATGGGTGCTTTACGGCAAGTCGGTGTGTCAGATAGTCAGCACTGTATGGCATGTTGTTTACTTAATACCCCTGATATCAAGCGCCCTGTTCTCCCTCTAGTGCTCCAGAAACTCGGTTTGAGTGTGTCATACTTTATTTTATTGTTTATTTTGGAAGATGTTTAGTTTTTTGTTCATTTTTATTTTAAGCTGAGATCAATTCAATTGACTAAAACTTGATTTAAGCTTTATACCAACTTTAAAACGTCACTGGCAGGTTTTAGTTTTCTGTCTCTGCTTCTCTGTTTAAAAATAATAAATAAAAGATCTAAAATTAGGCGTTAGTTTGTCTGTGCTGTTGAACTGGACCTTTACTGTACGGTTACACCCCCACTCCCTCGTTCTGACTCTAAATAACTTGAACTCATCGCATGTTTGAGAACGTCTGTAGGTTTTAGATCCACTTTGTGTTTGCAGAAGCATCAGGTTAAACTTCTGTCTGCTGGTTTTCTGCACGTTGGGTTAAATGTGGATTTGCAACAGGTTTTTTATTTTTTATTTTTATGTGAGGTTTAGTTAGGAATTATTAAAAAAAATAAAGATTTGACTTTAAACTTCCTGTTTATCTCTGTACATAGATGTTGCTGTTAGGTTTGTTTCACTGATTCTGGATTTCCTTCGTCTCCTCGTCGCTCTGTTCTCTGCTCCTGCTTCTAACCCTCTGTGTGTTCTGACCCGGTTCTGCATCTTTCCTAACTTCTAATAAAAGCTGAACTCTCTGCTCACCTGAGCCTGTCGCCTCTGCGTGTGTTCCTTCTCTTCTGCAGCATCAACACACTAACAGAACCAGAACACTAACAGAACCAGAACACTAACAGAACCACTCGTATTTCTCTAATAAACCTGCGTGTTCTTCACATTTTAAACCTGATCTGGAATAATTAATGTCTTTAGAGGTCATATAAAAAGTCACAATCTAAAATATTTTTAGATCTTTTCCACCTTGTATCGTACCAAAGTTCTTTAAAGAACCACAAGACCACCGTTCTGCACGGAACAATACCCAAAACGTATCAGCAGTCCCAAGATCTGAATGGAAAAATAACAAGAACAAAGCGAAAACATTAAATCAATTAAAATAAACTAAAAATCCAACGTCCTCCCTGGAGTCAAACGTTGAAAAGAGGATTTAGTTTTTTTTAAAGGGATGTAAAGTTCTGAATAATTCAACAGAGAAACATAAAACCACCACAGACCCACCATTTCCAATAGTAAGGTCCGCCTCCATGACCCGCTAACTTCAGGACTTTTTGTCCCTTCTTCATGTCCAATAGTCTCCAGCTTCGTCAGGTTGCTGCTTGTGTACAAGAGTCTTTAAAACAAACCAGAGACTCTCAGTTGTACTGAGCTCTGGGCTTTGACTGGACCAGTCCAGAACCTTTAGCTGGTTCTCCTTACACCAGTGGAGTGTTCTTCAGCGGTGTGTTCAGGCTTGTTGTCCTGCTGGAAGGTGGACCTTCGTTCCTGTCTCACGTCTCTGGAAGAATGTCTGTATTTTGATTCATGTTCCTTTAACTGGTCAGTGTCTCAGTCAGAGAACATCTCCACAGCATGATACTGCCACCACCGTGCTTCACTGTAGGGATAGGTCCTTGATGTTTGGTCCCATCTGACCACAGCAGTTTCACATGTTTGGTGTCTCCTTCCTGTTCACTCCTCTGTAAAGTCCAGCTCTGAACTGCTTCTGGTGATTCTGTGGACAGATCCTCCACCTCTCAGCTCCTTCAGAGTTGTCTTTGTCCTCCTGGATGTCCCTCTGATTAATGCCCTCCTGACCCGCTCGTTTGGTGGGTGACCCTCTCCTGGCAGGTCTGCTGTGGTGTCGTGATTCTGATTCCTAATAATGGATTTAGTTTAGTTCAGAGGTCTTGAATCATTTTTTTATGACCCAACCCTGACTTTTACGTCCCCATAGCTTTGTTTGACCTGTTTGGAGAGTTCCTTGCCCTTCATGATGTCCCGACTGCTGTTAAAAACTCTCTGAGTGCCAAATGACTGCTGAAGAAGCAGAAACTGAGTTTTTAAAGCTAAAAACAGTAGAGCGTTAGCTAAACGCCAAACTGGGAAAAGGCTAGCCAGAAGCTAAACGTAGCAAAATGCCAGCTAAAAGCTAAAAATATGACCGAAACAGAGCCAGCAGCTGAAGCGGATTTCAAAAAAGTTAATGAATGTGTCAACGTGAGGAAAATATTCTAAATGAAGTTAGGCCTGTCATGATAATAAATTTTGCTGGGTGATTGTCTCAGAAATTATTGTGATAAACAATAATATTGTTTGAAATTTGACAATAATTAGTAATTATTTTCAAATTTAAGAAGATATGTTGGTTAATTTTGTGTGTAGTACTTTTTTTTACCACTGGATGGTAGTATAAGACTGTTTGAACCGAAGGATGGATAGTGAGGGAGCGAGCAGTGTCTCTAAGAAAAATGTGAGGGAGGCCCCTTGACGTGACATGGGCTGTTTCTCCTTCCTATTTTTCGGTTCTCAAAATGGCGGATGATCGGTGTGGTTTGAGCTCTTTAGCATAGCATTTTTCACACTAAGCTTTTATTTAAAAAAATCAGTAAACAAGTTCTCAGCTTCTTTTTTCAGAGAAAAACAACTTTTTAGACAAAAACCCGAGTTTCAACCGTGAATTTTGGATCTTCAACAAGACGGAGGTTTTTCCCCGAGGTCGGCCTGTTAGCTTAGCTTCTCAGCTTAGCTGCTTTTAACGATCCAAAAATGCGATTTTGGATTGTTAAAATGGATTTTAACCTCCTAAGACCCGAACTCTTGCATATGTGGATGGCCAGGTCCTAGGAGGTTAAAGAAACGAGAAAGGGAGGTGTCAGTGAAGATCGCTGGAGTTGAGCCTTTTGTCATCCAGTGTCTTCAGTAGAAAGAGAGAGACATGAAGAAACGATAAAGCCGATAAATGAAAATGAGGTTGATAATTTTAATTTAACATGCGATTAATTGATTTATTGTTTGTTGTGACAGGCCTAAATGAAGTTAAATAACTGGAAAAGTTTAAAAGTTACCAAAAAAGACAGAAAAGTCACAGCTCCCATCTTCTGAACGAGCCGAACCTTTCGATTCATGAGCAGATTAAACACAAACCGCAGAAATAGTACAATTTTAAAATTTTACAGAAAAATAAGAAACAGGAAAACGACAGATTGTCGACTCGGGTCAGACTATTTCCTGGATTAACGTCATTATTCTGAAGTATTTATGTAGATTCATTAAGGCAACAAATAGTAAATCATACGGGGGTGGGAGGTGGGACTGATGATTCTGGGCTGTGAAGTTCCTCCTAGCTTTAATGAAAACCTGCCTCGGTGTGTTGCTCAGATGTTTGATGACGTTCTGGTCCGTTAAAGTTCTGACCGTGTCCCGTCAGGACGGCTCCGGGTCCCTGAAGAGGAGCGGCTCCTTCAGTAAACTCCGAGCGTCGCTCCGTCGGAGCAGCGAGAAACTCGTCCGCAAGCTGAAGGGTGGCGGCGGCTCGACCCGGGACGGCGAGCAGAAGACCTCTGGGTAACTATCGCACCCCCTCCCCCCCACAGCTTCTGGAGACCCAGAGGGCCGACCCACAAACTAAAGACAGGTTCTGTTTGCTGGTGGGGAAGCGGGTCGCGGCTGCGTTTGCACACGAAGAGTTTCTGTTTTTACTCTTCGATTCTTTTTCCCATTTTATGAGTTTTACCTTAATTCTCTGCACTTTTATAAACATGACCTGCTCAGGAATTTATCAAGGATTTATTTTTAGAAAAACTCTAAAAAAGTTTGGAGTTTATTAACAGAAATGTTCAGTACTGTCTGGGAAAAAAAAGTTTTAATGTTTTAACACTTGAAATTGGGCCTAAAAGTTTTAGGAGACGCCGTTTTAATTCAGTAATTTGTAAGAAAAGTTACAAATTTAAAGAATACAACACTTTATTAATGGAAAATAATGGAAATAATTTTCTAATTAGATCCAAAACGTATTTAAATACTGAAAGAACCAAAAGGTAGTTTCTGATTTTTATGGTTTTATTTTAATGTGGACAGAACATCGATGTTTGGGGATTAAATACTTTAATGGAAATAAAGTCATCCCTTTAGGTGTTAATTAATATTCTGTCTTTTTTTAATAAAAATGAAATAACCAAAATAATTTCTTACGTCTCACACTGGAAAAAGTTCCTGAAGCAATACGTTTTAAAATAAAACCCAGATTAATAATTTTAATCTCTCAGTGTACAAACTGAAAGAGTAAAGCAAAGGAACCAAACCGGACCTTCTCTCCTGGACAGAACCAAAGGTAAAAGATGAAATGGGAAAAGTTTCCTCTCATTCTGTGAAACTAAAGAGACAAAACCTGCAGATTTCTGCTCGTTCACTTCTACTAATATTTTATTTATTGCTTCTGGACCGTTTTTAAACAAACCACTCTGGACTCTGGACTTTACATTTTATTTTATTTTATATCTGCATGGCTGTTCTGTGTGGAGTTGTTGAATCTTTTTTTTTTTTATTATGAATAAATATTTTTATTTCTTCTGAACATCTCCTTGCATGCCTCATCTGTTTGTTGATCGTTTATTATTTTACTTCTTCTTCGTGGCTTAAAGACGATGAAGAACAGTTTATCTTCATCCTCAGCATGACTGAACAACGTTAAATCGCTGCAGAAACGTTTGTTCAAACTCACTGAACATTTGTCCCCAGCTCGCTGCAGAATTGTGCAAAGACAGAAATGATTATTATTTTAATTAAAAATGGGACGTTGCCTCTTTCCACCAGCAGAGGAACTCTGTCAATCCAGGAAATAAGGGATGGAAACGACGTGCGACTCAGAAAATAAAACATAAATCTATATAACCTGCCCGTAGTGCTTCAGTGAAATACTAAACTGAAACAACAAAGCTGAATCAGTAATCATTACATCTAAAAGAAACGTTTAGAAAAATGTTGAGGCTCTGTGGAGAAGGTATGAACAATAAATATCTTACCTGTTGTAGATGATTCTGTGAATGACCTCAGTTTGGAGAAAATTGCTGTTTCACGTCGGGGAATAAATCAACTGGAACTCTTCACCCAAAGTCAGAATTCTGACTCGACCAGTGGCGTTCCTTACCACCCCCAACCTCAAAATCCAACATGGCCGACTTGTACATGAACTGTTATGACAGACGCAGGAGTGAACTTTTGATTTTCAGTTTGCTTTCACACCATTAGCCATATTAGGGTATTGGCAGCCATTTGTGTCCATACACAGACCACAACGAAACCCATTAGCTTGTAAAGCTAGCTTCTGTTAGCTGCTAACTGTTGTTAGCTCGTAATGCTAACAGCAGTTAGCCTCGTCAACTGTTTCACAATTATCTTGAGTCAGACTTTAGATCCGACTTCTGAGGAAAACGGAACGCAAATTTAGATTACGGTACTTCTGACCAGATTAACGAGCTAATGGCTAGTCTGAAAGTGGCTAAGGTTAAAGTGGAATACTGCCGTCTTAAAACATCTGTAATGTCTAACGTGGTAACTTCATTGAACGGCTCGGATCTTTTATATTATCGTACATAGAGTTTTGTGGTTATTTCCTAAACTCCGACGTAAATTTTTATTATATTTCTGCCCAAATAACAGTAAAACGTAAAAATGACAGCAAATTAAAGTTTAACTAACTGGATTAATTTCGATAATCTGATAAATTAAGTTGATCTTAGTGTTTTTCCTTGTGATATAGCTGTTTGTAGCTTTTCCGTCATACGTTTACTGCTAAAAAAAAAAAAAAAAAAAAGCCGGTCATTTTTTTTGTTATATTGTTACTTTGGCAGAAATTTGAGGAAGAAGTGACCTCAGGCTGCTCTAGAAGTGCTACAGCTAGCTGCTGCTGTTGCTTCTTTCTCTTGGAAATGATCACAGAATCCTGTGTAAAGAGCAGCAACGATCAACTGCTTTCAGACTAGCCATTCGCTCGTCAGTCCTGTCAGGTTTAAACTTTTTCTCCAAACTGAGGTCGTTCAAAAAGACATCCACAGCAGGTAAGATATTAACTGTTCATAGCCTTTGGTTGAAAACATCCCTTTCAGGAGGCTAATTTCTGCAGTGATTTATATATTTTTAATTTTGTGTTTTTAACTTGGTGAACGTCTGTTTGGTTCTCGGGTCGTGAGTTAAAGGTTCTGTTCGGGACACATTTTAGGTTGCCGGTTTCTGAACCTCGAGTCTAAAATAAAATAAAGTTCATCTGTTCTTTTTTTTAATTCCTCGTGTTTTTCAGGCCAGAACTTTTTCCCGATTTTTCTCTGAACGGCAACTTAAAATGTCCCTTTGTGTTTGACGTCACTGATTAACCAAGTAAAACTTTTGGTCTCATTCCGGGTCGCTCCAACAGAATTTTTTAACGAAATAACCTTCATCACAAATGTTTCTAACCTCCATGTGACTCACCTCATCACCTCTGACCCCTCACCCTGCCTCCCTGCATGTGGGCACAGCATGAAGCGAGCCAGCTCAATGGGTGTTCTGAACCTGCCGGACCGAGCCGCCAGGGACCAGAACCAAGTAAGAAGGTCCAAATGTCTCTGCAGGGATACTCAAACCTGCACAATCAGACTAATCAATTAGCAATTAATATAAATTAAAACATGGATACTTTTGTGTTGACACTTTTTATTAAATGTTAGAGCAAAAATCAAGTTTCTCTCAATAAATACAACTTTTACGGCAGCAGATGATCTGAGCCAGACTTTTTGAAGCGTTGCAACAACGGACGTCACAGAACATGAAATAATTTTTACAGATCCTTAAACACTGGATGGTTTATTTAGTTTTTTAGTAACGGTTTTATTTTATTACAAATTTTACAAAGGAATTTTAAACCATTTTTATATGTGAAACTACAAAGATAAAATAAAAAACTTTAAAGGTTAAATGTCAATTTTATTTACTTTAATCAAATTCAATATTTGTATTTGTTATATTTGTTTGTTGTACAGTATTAGGGTTTTTAAAGGGATATTCCATCCATTTGAGTGTTGTTCTTAGAAAAAATTAAGTTAGCGTCTTACCTGTTGTAGATGGCATTTTGAACGCTCTGTTTGGGGAAATGCTTTATTTTGAAGTCGGGTCAGAACAAAAAAACAACTTGATTTTTTTTTTAAATTTGCTGCAGTCATGTTTTTAAAACAATCATTTATGTAGAATATTAAAATATTACAGCCATTTCACAAACATAAATAGCAGCAGCAGCCAGCTGTAGCAGTTCTGGTCCTGCCTGGATGTCAGTTTTGGTGTAATAATAAACTGACAGAGACGTTAAAGTGTTATTAAGGATTTTTTAACGCTTTATGAAATGTTATTTTAGGTAAATTATTTGGCACAAAGGCTAGTTAGCTTCATTAAGGTGCAGCTAATTTATTGATTGTTGCATGGTTTAATTATCTTTTAAATAAAATAACTTAACCAAATATTTTTTTTTAATAAACTTGATGCTCCTTTGCAGGTCCACTTCCTGTTTGATATTTAAACAATATGATTGAAACTTTACAGAATGCAATATTCAAACTATTTTATATTTATACAAATTTATTACTTGTGGGCCTGATTCATTGTGTGAGTTGTTTTATAAATTTGTTAATGAATTGCTTATTTACAAGGCATTAAAAATAAATTTTTATAGGAACTCTTATTGTGAAGGGTTGCTATCTACAACAGGTTGGATATTAACTCTTCATACATTCCACACTTTAAAATGACTCGTAGAATATCCCTTTAAGTTGAAACTTTATTGATTCTTGAACAGAATGAGCGGTGCCGTTCAAGCAGCGGGCGCTGTAGGAGCAGATGTTTTAATTAATTTAAAATAAAAAGTAATTAAATGATTATTGCCTCAGGACAAAAATTTACGTCATGCTTCTTTTTGAGTTTTAAAGACTTCAAATTTAAAGAAATTATTTTTTAAACTGTATTTTTTTTTTAATAATCTCTTGTTTTATCTGGGATTAAACCCATATCTGTGAATAAAAGAAAAACAAACTTATCAGCTTCTAATTTTAATTTCCTGTTTCTTCCAGGAACGAAATAATCGTCTGAGAAGTCACGACCTGAGTGCCAGCCACACGAACCTGGCGCCTTGAAGGAAGTGACCTTTGACCTTTCTGTACTGTACAGATCAGCTTCACGCCTTTCAGATTTTGCTGCGACTTGTTTTACAGCCGAAGGTCGGTGCTGCTGTCGGAGGAGAGGAGCCAGAATGTTTCTGTCTGTAGAAATCTTTAAATCTGAATATTTTATCCTTCCTGGAGCTTGTTCAAGGACCAGCTCGAGCTAAAGTTTGACGTAGGCGCTGAATAGGAACCTACCTGAAACATCACTTGGCTTCACCTTAAATATCTTTCAGCTCCACCTTAAACATCCCTCAGCTCTTCCCTAAACATCCATCAGTTCCACCCTGAACATCCCACAGCTCCACTTAAAATATGCATCAGCTCCCCTTTAAACATTCATCATTTCCACCTGAAACATCCCTCGGCTTCACCTTAAATAACCTCAGCTCCATCTTAAACATTCCTCCATTACTCTCATCTTCACCGTAAACATCCTCAACTCCACCTTAAACATCCCTCAGCTCCATATTCCTTAGCTCTACCTTAAACGTCCCTCAGCTCCACCTTAATCATCCCTCAATGCTATATCCCTCAGTTCTACTTTAAACATCTTTCATCTCTACCTTAAACATCCCTCAGCTCCACTTTAAACATCACTCAGCTCCATAACCCTCAGCTCCACCTTAAACATCCTTCATCTCCACCTTAAATCTGCCTCAGCTCCACCTTAAACATCTCGCATCTCCACCTTAAATCTCCCTCAGCTCCACCTTATAACATCCCGCATCTCCACCTTAAATC